ACTTGGATATCAAGATGGCATTGTTGAGACCCCTCCAAGAAACGCTCAGCGACATCTACCGTCAGGGGGATGCTACAGAGACGGGCCAGAGCATAGCTCAGGCCTTCGGTGTGCAGAGCATAGCTCAGACACCGCATCTGATTTTAGCCATTGGGCAAAAAAAAGACCACATTTTCCAGGGCTGCATTCTGGATTGCAGCCCAATGCATCCGCTCATGACCGCAGCCATCCGACACTGCTGCAACACAAGACAAACTCAATTATCCAAATGTTACATGTTATTCTGCAGACATCTCTGGAACCTGATCAAGAATGACCTCAATGGGAAGGAGCCGCAGCACGGCTGGAATTGGACTCCAACATATGGTCCAATTTTCTTGTTCCCAGAGATGCTTTTGAAAACAGAAGGTGCAACTCAGAAGCAGATGGTCGACGCCCAGGGAATTGCCGTGCCTATGGATGGCCATGTGATGTCGCTGCCGCACGACTTGCCGCATTTTGCGTGCACACGTGCTTGGGGATGGAAGCACGGCTTCAAAACCCACCTCGAAGCCCTTCTTGCTTGCACTGCGCAAGAAAAATCTTCTGGCAGCACGCTGGCTCCAGCAGAGACAGCCGCAAGCTCCAGCAGCGATACCAGGGATTCGGCCCCGCCTGCCTTCATGGAACTAACATCAGAAAGTATTGAGAAGATTCACGACTTAGCCCGAACGCCTTGGTACGCAGACCTGGACCCGTCGGAACTGCGACGATTCATTCCTCTCGGACTTCGCATCGCCACAGATGGCTCAAACTATTTGGTTTGCAAATTCTGCAAGAACCACAAAAGGAAACAGCTTCATTTCCAAGGACCGCCAGAAGTCAGGAGCCACTTCGACAAACACAGGGACGAACCAGAAGAATCAATGGAAACACATGAGAAAAAGGCAGCGATCACAGAAGCGAAAGAAGAAACCACAGAAGACAACAAGAAGTATGAAAAAGAAGCTGCAGAAGAAACAAAGGGAGTCTGGGCTGACGCAGGACCAGTTCCAACTTGGGCTACTGCCGACGCAGAAAGCCGACTCGCCGCCGCTGCGCAGCCTGTTGGATCCACGCCGCTCGCCGCCCTATTGCTTGCAAGCCTGCTGAACACAAACTCAGACATGGCCAGATTCATCGACCGGGTGACCGACCTCATCGAATCCTGTTTGCAGCACCAGCGGCAAGAGATGGCTACCATCCTCACGGACTTGCACGACGTACCGGTGATGCTGGGCAAACTCTGGCAGGCAAAGAACCAGAAAGCAACAACCTGGAATCACATCACACATCCATGGTTCGTCAATTGGCACGTCAGAGACACAAATTGGCCATTGAGCATGCCCTCAGAAAAAGGAGTTGCAGAGGTGAAAGGAACCATCTACAGCACAGTGGCGATTAACCTTTTGCTGGAAGGTTTGACACAGAGCATCGACGTCGCTGGCCTGGCTGGTGAAGATCGGACCCGCGCCTTGCGCAGCTGTTGTGCGCACTTCAACGTTGCTTGCTCCAGTCGCGGCCATGTGTGCCGTCTCCTCCTTTCCAACAACCCCGAGAGATTCAAGTTTGATCTGAACCCAGCTGATATCGAGCGGCTCTACGGGGGCACCTCAAGCAAGAAAACCAAAACCCAGAGGACCACGGGCATTGCTCACGGACGCCAAGCCAGAGCACCCATGCAGATCAACGACTGAGAGACACATGAAAAGTCAGAGCATAGCTCAGACATACCTCCACGGAAAACGTCAGAGCATAGCTCAGACATACCTCCACGGAAAACGTCAGAGCATAGCTCAGACATACCTCCACGGAAAACGTCAGAGCATAGCTCAGACATAACTCCACAGCGAGAACCCATGTCAAAAGAAACAACGAAGGTCAATGCAACCAGAATGGCAAAAAGTCGTGCGCCAAATTGTTAGCAGACCATTCTTCATTTTGTGCTGCCTAAGCTTACTACAAGTGACACCCGAAGAATCCAATGTGCACGCAGGCAACCTATCCGGTAGCTGTGCGGGAGCCAAGACCAATGGAACCAAACCGTATATATACCATCTTCCTCCTACTACAGACAAACCAAAGATAGAAATATATACACGCTATACGATCAAACACATAAAATGGCTCACTGCGATCTCTCCTATATGTGATTGTTTGTTTCTTCGCGTTTTGCAAACTCTGGCTGATGCAGTCTCGTGATTTTCATGCATAGCAAGCTAGCAATCACCTACAGAGATTCAAACCGCAGCCAGATGCCATTTTCAGTGTGTTCACTCTTTTTCAGGCATTCTCATTCAGGTTGTCACTACGAACTCCAACAAATCAGATGTCTTAAGACATCTCTCCTGTCTTGCAGCACCTGCGAAGGTCAGCTTTCCAAACCGAGCGCGGAAACCCAGATCTCTTCTACAGAATTGGACACTAGGATCTGAGACTGCGCCCGCAAGCTGATCCACTGCAGTGCTTGCGACGCCTTAATCGATCATGATCTCCAGAAATCGATTCATCCCAATAGATCTCCCTCCCGCAAATTCAATTTCAGTTCGATAAAAAATATATTTCCATTTGAGACAAACGTGTTTTCCATTTGACACAAAATTTTGCGATAAACATTGGGACACCACCCGAAGTCTCACACAATAAGAATTGGAACCCGGAAAAAGTTCCACAAACATGGACACCACTCCTTGCTGTGCAGCTTTGGATTCCACATCGCAGTTCGTTTCCTCAGCCATTTTGTGATTGGCCAAGGTTTAGAGACACAGCTGCACCACGCGTTGCAGACATCCCAGCTGCAAAGGTGCATTTACAGTTTCATCTATCGAAGATTCTGCGAAGCCAAACAGTTTGCCGAAGCATACACTGTCGCTTTGTGGAAATGTTCCTTTCCAAGCTCACAGACAATGCTTCCAGTTCTTCGATTGACCATAATCGGATACATACACAATGAAGACACGTGTTGCCTTTATAATTTAACAAATGAAATCACACGCAGGAGCCGTGGAGACCCAAGCGAACAACGCTGCGACTCGCAAAGCCTGCCAAGATTCGACTTGACTCTCAAAAAATCGCTTGCAACCTCAGCTAATTTTTTCACCAGTTGCTCTTCTAATCCACTTGCCATGCTAACCCTACTAACCATTGGATTGGGTATCTCCCTGCATTCGCTTCGCCTCTCCAGAGATCATTTGCAACCTCATATAAGACCATTTAATCAATTGCTTGACTCATCCACTTGCACAACTCCAATCACTGACTCTCGGGCAGGCTGCTGTGGCCGCTGGTCAGTTTCTCGGAACATCACCACTTAACCCTCCAAACCATCCTGGATGTATTTCTTTACTTATTCGGCTGCCTTTCTAATCCGGCTGCCTCCAAACATTCTTCATTTTGTGCCGTGAAAGCTTACTACAAGTGACAACAGAAGAATCGACTCTGCCTGCAGGCACACCATCCGATAGCAGTGCGGAAGCCCAGTGGAATCAAACCAGATATATACCATATTTCTACCGATAAATGCACACACACATCAAAAGATAGAAATATATACACGCTATAAGATCAAACAGATACGATGGTTCAGTGCGATCCTTCCTATCTTCGCTTGTTTATTCCTCAGTTTTTGGTAACCTCTCGCTGATGCAGTCTCATGATTTTCATGCATAGCAAGCTAGCAATGGCCTGCATAGATACAAATCACTTTGCTGTGCTGCTTTGGATTCCACGTCGCAGTTCGTTTCCTCAGCCGTTTTGTCTTTGGCCAAGGTCTAGACACACCTGATGCCACGCGTTGCAGACATCCCAGCTTCAAAGATGGCTGAACCGTTGGAGAGTTCTTAGGTCGATGCTGTCATACGGGAAACATTAACTGTGGATGGAAGAAACACTGCAGCAGTGGGACTATAACGAAATTATAATGGAATGAACCATATACCAATTGGTGCAACATTTCTTCCATTAACAGTATGATTCTAATATAGATATGAGTTCTTTTTTGGACTATCAACATTAAAAAACATAGTATATCAACATGTTTCATCATCATTATCGAGATTCTTGGCATCCTGTTTTAGTGAAGCCTACCTTTCTTTACCAAACAACAACAATCAAGAACCAATTCTGCCTCGGCTGTGCACGCAAAAAAAAGTGACTCAGTGATGCACACGCTCAAAACTCGATTGTACATTTGCAGAGGGCTTTTTAGTTGATGACCATTTTTCTCATTATTATATAATGTATCTTGTGCTATTATCATTACCATCATTAACCACAACGATGGTGATGATGATGATGGTGATGATGGTGATGATGATCTGATGTTGATAATGATCATGATCATGAGTGGTAATAATGTTTTCGTGATGATACTGGTGCAAAAACTTCAATATCAAATAGATCATTGTGACTGCAATGGTTCTCGTGATAATGATAACAATGATGACGATTATTTTGATGGGGTTGCTTGAGCGCTTGATGCTGTTGATGGTGCGGATACTGACAGTCTGGTCCCGAGCCTCCACAAGGTTGCTGGGGACATCCCACCCCGAATTCCAGCTGGATGATATGCTTTTAATCCATAGGTGGACGGAAATGATATTAATAACATGTAGCTACAAATAAATCATGCCTATGTAGCATTACACCATCCACATAGGTGCTAGAAATCATAACCAGTCACCATTGGGGGATTCGATTTCACTATCATAGCAATGGTACACTCGGCACACTCGGCACACTCGGCAGACTCGGCACACTCGGCACACTCGGCACACTCGGCACACTCGGCACACTCGGCACACTACGCACTCGGCACACTACGCACTCGGCACACTACGCACTCGGCACACTCGGCACACTCGGCACACTCGGCACACTCGGCAACCTCGGCACACTCGGCACACTCGGCACACTCGGCATACTCGGCACACTCGGCACACTCGGCACACTCGGCACACTCGGCACACTCGGCACACTCGGCCATGCGCGCCAAGCGTCCCAAGCGCGCCAAGCGACCCAAGCAACCCAAGCGACCCAAGCGCGCCAAGCGCGCCAAGCGACCCAAGCGCGCCAAGCGCGCCAAGCGACCCAAGCGCGCCAAGCGCGCCAAGCGCGCCAAGCGACCCAAGTGCGCCAGGGACACTTGCACCAAGACCGCCCCACATCACTTTGCCAGACCAAGCGATCCAAGCGCGCCAAGCGCGCCAGGGACACTTGCCCGAATACCGGCCCAGATTCCCATTACTCTCTAATATAATATATATTAATATATATATAATATATTAATATATATATATAATATAATATATATATAATATAATATATATATATAATATAATATATAATATATATAATATATATATAACATACATAATATAATATAATATATATATAACATATATATAATATAATAATTTTAATACACATATATATATATAATATAATATAATATAATATAAGATAATATAATATAATATAATATAATATAATATATATATATATAAATAATATACGGTATAATATATATATAACCTTTATATATATAATGAAACATTATAATATATACATAATATATTACATATTGTTTATATACATAATATTATATATATATATTATATTACATATTATATTTTATATACATAATATATTATATATTATTTATATACATAATATTATATATTATATATATATTACATATTTTATATATTATATACATAATATATTATATTATATATATATTGCATATTATATATATTATATACATAATATATTATATATTATTTATATACATAATATTATATATATTATATATATAATACAATACAATATATATATAATATACGATACAGCTCCAACTTCTTCTTGGGGCCCAAAATTTTGAGATCCTTTGGTACTCAAACATGGCAAGGGACAATCCTCCATTTACTTTGATGAGTTTCCCAGCTGGCCAGCAATGTTGGAGGATACCGGCGGGTCGTTCCTTAAAATTGTTCAGCTGTATCATATCCATCTATATCCATCTATATACCCATATTATATGGAAGTTTACTAAAATGGGCGTACCCCAAATCATCCAAGTCATGACCATGCCTTGGTATTGAAACCTGTGGTGACGACTGGGGATCTCCTTTTTTTTCTAGTAAATCCCATGAGTTCCCACCATGATTGATGGCTGAAGCCATTAATCAGCATTAATCGGACCATTACCAGCATTAAACCACCATTAAACCACCATTAAACCACCATTAAATCACCATTAAATCACCATGAAATCACCATTAAACCACCATTCAACCACCATTGAACCACCATTAAACCACCATTATTGATGATTGAACTTCCCCCCACAAAAAAAACCATGATTTCTTAGTGAATCTGCCATCACAGGTGATCCTGGATCCCGCCACCCAAATGTCGCGGGGCTTCGGCTTTGTGCGCTTCCGTCCCTCGGCGCCGATTGCCGTAGGGACAAGTGATGGGTTGAGAAGCTGGTGCCCCTAAGATAGCTAACTTGGTTCATAACTCTAAGAACTAGGACTCATGGTATATATATATATATATATCTATCTATCTATCTATCTATCTATCTATCTATCTATATCTATAGGTAATGGGTTTATAAACAAACTTATTACGGGGGGGAACCACATTGTAGTAACCATAATTTTTGAGAAAATTGGGGAGGGGGGGGTACCATATTATAGCCAATTTACTATAGTAACCATATTACTTGTTAATTAGAAAATTAGTTGAATATGATAGTAACCTTATGTAACCTTAAAACCATTTACTATTGGGGTTACCATAAGCGTTGGATGTCACCATAAGACTTTTGCCATAAATTGATGTGACCCACAAAAAAAAACACAATCCCATGGGTTCCTTCCAACTTTGATTGGTGTTATACTTTTCAGACGATTTTCGAGTGGCAAAATTTGCTGAATGGTTTATTCCTCCAGCTTCTGGAGTCTTCACCTTTCAATGAGACCACTTTGAACTTTACTATTTGGATCATCCAGTCACTAGGTATGGTCTACTCTCTTTGTGTAAGAGATGGAGCAATGGAGTGTTTCGTTTGACAGGTTGTGTTCATTTGTAACCAGTTTGATGCAGGAATCATTCACCATGGAGAGGGCAAGATGGACTTACGTAAAGCCAGCAAGCCAACAGATGTTCAGAAGGATTCTGCCAAGGAAACCACTTTGTTGAAGACACCTGCATCAATAGCACTGGAGAAATGACATCAAATACAACCAACAACAAATGTCTGGTTGGTGGTTTGGAACATTTGGATTATTTTTCCATATATTGGGAATAATCATCCCAACTGACGAACTCATATTTTTCATCCCAACTGACGAACTCATATTTTTCATCCCAACTGACGAACTCATATTTTTCAGAGGGATTGAAACCACCAACAAATGTGGATTTTCATGTTTTTTAACGAACCAAGACGCGGATTTCAGCCATGAAAAAATGGACAGCATTGGATCTCAGCTAGATCTGTCCGATATCCATGTTGAAGGCGTCCTGATCTTTTGCCATGAAGATTCTACGGCAAGATTTTGCGGGAAGATTCTTTCAATTCAGTGATTCCAGGACTCCAATCTTAAGATCTTAGATGGATAATTTCAGTGAATCAGATTTACAAAAACTGGAATTCCCATAAAAAATCCCATCCATTCTTCGACTTCGCCGATTTCTTCGCGAAACCAGGTGCACAAGAGGACGCCGAGCAGGCAATTCGCGAGATGCAGGCGACCGCCTGGGGACCCCGAGGTAACCTGATCTCAGGAACGCCTCATGGTTAGTGCGACTCCATCATCCCCGTTTTGCCCATTTTTGATGCGTGGATGATGGTGGATAAGCCATCAATAAAAGTGTGGGTGATTTTTGTTTTTTAACATTGCAAAAAACTAACATGATGGTTACATCACATTAAATTTCATAAATTGGTGATATCCCATTATAATAACAAAACATATCCCATATGCCCAACATGAGATGCGAAGCCGCCATAGTTGGACCTCCATAAAGCGCAGCGCGCAGCGAGGGTGTCTACTTGGGCTCCAAAGCCATGAAGGTGCGTGTTTCTCACACTGGGCACTGTGCATCCCAGGGATCTTATCATCCAGTTATTATATATTATTCTAAGATAGATATTATTATTATTATTATATTAAAAAAACGAGCATACATGGGTTTTATGATATGAATTATATTAGATGATACAATAGATTATATATTGGATTATATATATATGGTTATGTATTTGGGGACTTCATATGTGTGTTATCATAATTAAGCTATACATGCGTTGTTGAACTCAGTATAACTGGTATGCACACCGCAGGGGTTGCGCAGCTTCCATTTTCGGATCCATCAATGGGGTTGCACCGCAGGTCCGCCCATCCCACAACAAGACAGAAGTCCGCGAGGTGCTGCGGGCAAGGGACATCACATTTCAGGATCTCACTTTTGCTGGCCGTATGGCATGGCATGGCATGGTATGGTGTGGCATGGTGTATGGTATGTTATTCCCAGAGCAACTACTGAGACGCAGTTGCGTCTTGCCCAATGTATTCAACCAATGAACCAATTGGATACATATTTGTGGATAGCTTCAAAGTATCCCTCATGGAGCATGTTGTGCGACGAAAACAGGAAGTTCAGGAACGCTAAGTCGCTAAGCCACACCACTCTGGGCAGCTAAACCTTCCAAAATCCGGCCTGCCTTGTCAAAACTAATCTTGTCAAACTCCCTGCACAAAGGGAGCAAGATGAAGGTCCTGCATTGCTTCAAAATACGTTTCCTCAACCCAGTCTGCAAAATCACTTCTTGCAATTCCTGGCCTGATGTGAAAAGTCCAAACTCCTGTATCGACAAAGGTTCCCTTGGCAGCCCCTAACTTGCGAGCCCATTTTTGGACCCCATTGTTGGACGTTTTTGCGTTTGTTGAATCTCCATATTTCCTGAACTGGCAAAACAATGCAGGGTTCACCGGGTTCACCCACCATATTTGGCGACTTCAACCAGGGTTGCCAACGCGGCAGGACTCACGCCCGTGGACTGTGAACTCACCTCCATCTGCAGTGCATGTGCGGGTTCCGGGCCAATGAAGAACAGGGATTCCAATGGATTCCATGTCTTATCCCTTAAAACGAGGGTACCATCTGGTTATTTAACAGTTTGCCATGGAAAATCACCATTTTTAATAGGTAAACCCAGGTAAACCATCTATTTCTATGGGCCATCGAAAAACCATGGCGAACTGTTAGTCATAACCAGAGGGTAATAGTTCATGATATTCCAATATTTTAATGGTAATTCTAATGGGGATATTGGGATGGGATGATTCACCAGATGACCCGATGAGACACTGAAGAGCCATGAGGTCCTGCCCAGCAGCACTGTGCTGTGCATCAGCTCTCTGGATGCCGCATCTCCTGAGGCCCTTTTTTTTTCTTGTGGGATGAGGAAAAATCATGAGATATATATACCGCAACCTTTCAATCTATCAATCATGCTTTTTGAAAAAACATCCTATCATATAATGGAAATGTAATGGATATTAACATATATTAACAAAATTATTAACCTTAAATCCGAAAAAATCTCAGATTCTTCGATGTGTTGATTTTCACTGTGCGGTGCAGGACTTGCAAAAGCTCCTGCATCGATGTGCCACCTTTGGGGTCTCTTGGGTGTCTGGCGATGAAAGGGTCAGGGCCTACGATGAATTTGGGTCTAGGGATGTCTGTGGGGTCTATGTACCAAGAATGGTGATATAATGGGAGACTGGGATTCACTGAGGTTCGTGATTTGGGCTCATCCAAGAAGGTGGCATCGGATGTCAATTTGGGGAAGATCATCAACCTGAGATTTTGAAGCAAAAAAAAACCGCCAAGCTGAGACGGAGCCCCCAATAGCAATATCCAATGCAAAAATACTCAGTTCGTCTCATTGCTTTCGAGTTCCACCTGTTTGGAGTAGTATACAACCAAGACATTCCAAGCGCCTGGGGACCCCATTTCCATCAGGATCAATTGATGATCAAATCTTGCGTGGTGATTCGACGCACGAAAAACGACGCAAGAAAAATGATCCATGATGTACTGGGAAGTAGCCCCGGATCTTATTTCAGCTTAGTGAATGATGATGGCATGGCATTGACGATCGGACGCTTTTAAAGAACTCGGACGGAGTTGTGGATTCGGTTTTTGTCCAAAGATTTTAAGTGGTACCCCAAACAATCCCTGGTGATTTTGCTTCGCCGCATTTTTCAAATAGACAGTTTGGGGTAGTCCAAAACCAATGGGATCCACTGGTGTTGTCCAATCCCAACTGCCCAAGTGGATCCGATCTCAGGCTATCATGCGACACATCTTCGTTGAGGCGACGTGACAATCGGAAGGGCGCAGGGTCCGTCTCTTTGAACATTAACATGTACCAAGACGATCCAAGATGTACCCTCTGGTTATGTCAAAATAGCTATTGAAAATGACCATAGACATAGTGGATTTTCCCATTCAACATGGTGATTTTCCATCGTTATTTGTATGTTTACCAGAGGGTACTTGTACCATTCCCTGGGGGTTATGTTCCCGAAAGTCGGGAATGCGCTTGTGACCAGTTGACCCTGGTTGTTGTTTGAGGTGATCCCGGAGGAATCTTTCTGAAAACTGGCCTTGATCAATTCACCAAAAATGTTTGGATGTAAACTAGAACTGATGATCAACACCTTTTGATACACACAAAGATGTAGAATTTCATCATCAATTCATCCTTTTGTAGATTTATAATTTTCAAGACATGAGTTTTTTTTGAAAGTTGATGATGTTGATGTGCTTCCACCAGTGATCTCCATACCACGGCGTGACACCTGACACGCCCCTTCAACCAGTCGAGCTGCTTCGTGGAGTACTACGAAGCCACAGCAGCTGAAGCGGCGGCGGGACATCTGTCAGGTGCGGGACCAGAGGGACTAAGTGGTGTCAGTATGTGTCACTATATGTGGGGAGTCATAGTTTAAAGCAAGAAATCCTTGATCAGGTTTTTTTTTGTATCATTCCGAAATCCCTTTATCCCCCTTGAGATGAAATACTGTAATCCATGCCGTAGGAATATTTACTAATTAAACAACTTCAGCAGAATGGTATAGGGGTATTTATCATAGCTCTGCTAAAAACGGCTGGAAGATGGTAGAACAACAAGTTACTCAAGTTTGATTGGCTAGTTATAAGCAGATTATATTGTTGTCAACATCCACACTGCCATTGTTTGTTTCTTCTCTCATTTTCGCATCATTTCATCCCATCTCCATGGTTTTTAACAGCCCCATATCCATCCATCCCAGTCCCAGTGACCGATCATCGGAGGTATGTGCGGCTTGACGGTGAGCTTCAGTGACTCTTCAGCCATCGATTACTATCGCACCCTGCAGTTGGAGGTGAGAGGTTTCGACAACGCCCCAAAAGAATGAAAAGTAAGATCCCTGACTTTTCGTGGAACATTTGATCGAATATCTTGAGATACAGTAGATATATATATATATATGTATATTATATAGTGGGTGATCAGCCAATGGTTACTCTGTTAATTATTAAACAGCTGGTTTGCGTTGGGGGTAATTCCAGGATCCCCGATATTCGGGTATTCGGGGACGCCTTCACGAATTGGAGTATCCCCATGATTCCAAATCACCCAAACTACCAACCCACACCACCAGGTATAGAACCATTGGTTGGACATCAGGTACCCCCAATGATTAAAGGGTCGGCTTCACTGATTCTGTAGGGTGATAACAGCTTGATCTGCTAATCATTACCAATCTCAATTCATCATTTCTCAAAGATCAACTGCATCTACCCCCAACACTAGGATGCTGAAATCTGAACATGTTCCCAATATTTGTGCTTTTCATGGTTTTTATGGGTCTTGAAGTTTAGCCCAGACCCAGATGTCCAAAAAAAATCCAGGGCTGGCTGCCTTGCTTCGAACCCTCGGCCGTCGCCAGATGCCCAGTGGGAAGCACACAATTTGGGGACCGGAGATAGGTCAATTCTTAATATGAACATATTCATATACCATGCAAAGATTGGGGGAATTGCCCAATTTTGACCCAACTCGTAGCACTATCCAAACCATTTTTTTGGGAGCATGACTCATATTTTGATGTATATGCAACACATATTCTCATGGAAAAACGATGTAGAACAAAAACAGCGTTGTGGGTCAAGGACCAAAGCGTCCTAAAACGAGACATGACGCACAATCAGCCATTTGGACAGGTGCAGAGTGGGTATTAACATTTTGGATATTTGCATCAAATGGTGAAGAACTTTGATCTTGATGTGTCTAAGATAGCCAACAAAAAATGATGTGCTGGAACATCACGACCAAGCCCCATAAATCATGGTTCATCTTGGGAAAAGCACCAATTTCACCCAACCAGAAATGAAGAAACACAGCACCCAACCAGGTAATCCAATGGATATGTCGGACACATTCCCCGAAGTCGAAAAAGTTTGGGCGGGATTTTGGAGCTCCCAGTTTTTAAAACGACGGCGCTGCCGGAGCCATGGAAGTGAGCTTTCCGCCCAAACCAGTGCTGGGATGCCTGCTGGGAAGTCTGAGGCGTGAGCCTTGGGAAAGCCGTCTTTGAAAAGTCATCAGCCATGAGCCATGGGTGATAAACACCAGCCTTTCCCGCCTTAGCACCTGCGCCAGGTGCTGCGCCAATGCCAGCCCGGAATTCTTCGCCAAATTCATGCATTTTTGCTTTTTTCCCATGCAGGGCTGCATCCAAGGTGTGGGCGGCGGGGACGGTGTGCATCTCATGGCGTCCGATGCCATCATCCGGTGAAAAAACCCAGCGAACTGGAGAACGCGCCTGGCAGATGATTCGAAATATTAGAGGAATCTCTTTGAAACATGTCTTAAATCAGCTTTCGGGATTCATAAACTATCCAGAACCGTGGATATCCCATATATAACTGGTTGGTGGTTTGGAAGATTTTTTCCATATATTGGGAATGTCATCATCCCAACTGACGAACTCCATCATTTTTCAGAGGGGTGGCTCAAAACCACCAACCAGATTATTATTAACCATCATTAACCATCATCATAACCATTAATATTAACCATATATATATATAATAACCATTAATATTAATCATTAACCATAGATATAGATACCCCAATAATAAAGTATCCAGAAGATCACCAGGGATAACCCAATAAACTCATCCGAAAAATGGGCTCCAGGATGTCTGTCAAGCACCGGCCGCTCCTCTCGGCGCCTGGCGCGGCAACCGGTGAAGATCGGGTCCACCGATGCGGAGTGGATCATGTTGGATCGCAAGGCCAGTGATACCAGCAGCTCATCCTTGATTTATAGGACAAACATGGAGAAATCTCTGGGAAAACATTGAAAAACCATTGCTTAAATATGAATGGAACTATCATGAACTATATGTAATGTGGGTTTTTAAAAGTATTGTTTGATGTTCAAACTAGAGAATCACGTGGGGAATTAAACATTAACACTGCATGGGAAGCCAACCATTGAAGGGTAGGTTCGTGCTGTGATACAGAACTGTGGACCCCACAACGATGACCCGTTGTCCGTGGTTGTCGTTGTTTGAGTGGTCGGTACTCTCACACCTTTGCTGATGTATGTGTGTATATATATATACGCGCAACGCCTGGGCTTTGCCCAGGCGTTGCAGCGTAGAGGGTCCCCATTCCCAATCAAATGTTGTTGCAACTCTGCATTCCGTTGGGAAGATCAACAAAGGTATTAGGGAATATTAAAATCCCACCCCCGTTAAACTCTACATTCAATTGGGAAGATCAACAAAGGTATTAGGGAATATTAAAGTCCCACCCCCGTTAAGCTTCTACATTCATTGAAGATCTTCAATAAAGGTTTAATTCTCCCACCCCCGTTAAACTTCTACATTCATTGAAGATCTTCAATAAGGGTTTAACGATGATGATGATGATGATGATGATGATGATGATGATGCGTTGCCTGTTGTGGTTGCGGTTCCGGGCAAAGCCCAGGCATTTGCCGATATATCACACCTTTGCTGATGTATGTATATATATATATACATACAGTATAGTTATCCATTATCCAGATCTGCACCATTTATGTATACATATATAATAACATATATATATATATGTACAATTATATAATTATACATATTATACAATACATATGATATATATATATTATTACTGTATAACGGTATATGTACACATACACCTTGCGGACAATTTCTGCTTGGAGCCTTGGATAGGTTGCCATTTTGCCCAGGTAAAGTTGTGCTGTACCTGCCAGGTTCGGAGCCCATCCATGGATGGGACTTCAATGGGTCCCAAAGAATGGGGTTTCGGGCAAATTTCATACACATTATTTAATCTGGTTGGTGGTTTGAAAGATGGCTTTCGGGATTCATAAACTATCCAGAACCGTGGATATCCCATATATAACTGGCTGGTGGTTTGAAAGATGGCTTTTATGACTTTCCATTAATGTCGGGAATGTCATACTCCCAACTGACGAAGTCATATTTTTCAGAGGGGTGGCTCAACCACCAACGAGTAATGATTGGGTATAATTGAATGATGGGGTATAAGCAACAATTTCTATTGGGGATTTTGTTTAAAAATGGGTTTACCCCATGATAAATGATGAGGGTTACCCAGCCATTTCTGGTGAGTCATTGGGGATTTTCCAGCGCTGGCAGGATGATCTAGGACGATTAAAGCCCACAGTAGACCAATCGGAAAGGGACTTGACTCCTACTTTTCAGGGCCCAAGTTAATCCCCTCAACCAGCGGCAATTTTTTTTTGGCACAAAAAACTCTGCGCAGCAGCGGACTCAGCGCAGGCGGTGGTTTTGTTGCCAGAGACCACACTGCCGGCGTCTTCGCTTCGCGGGTGCTGCCACGCTTGGCGTGGCGCGGATTAATGATGGATGGGATATGATAGGATATCATGGGATGTAATGCTATATAGTAGCACATAATGATATATATATATAGAATTATATATACATATATACCCATGCATTGAGTTTGGCAGGCTTGGGTGTGCATGTATCATCTTTAAGTGCTCCAATGAATGCTTTCATTTTGGCTCAAGTAAACTTGAACCAAAATAGCATTCATTGCTTTTTCTTTCTTGGTCTTGGTAAGGGGTGACCTTCCTAGACCTTGATTGATTGGTTCTGGCAAGCAGCGAGTGATTGACAATGGCGACACGGGAGGACAATCAGCGTTGTCATCTGATGCCAACAAGCTCACATTGTGCAGCCCACTGCGCCCTGCACAGCATATCCGCCTGGTGATGCATCGTTGGGCCGATGAGGACATCGCAGATTTTCTCGCACACGATGCCTGGGAGACAGGCCAGGAGGACTTGCCTTCAGCATACAGGTACTGCCCTATGGCGCTGCAAGAAAGTCTGGGTTGCGTGGATGATTGAGTGGCTCACCACATCAATAACCAGGGGTGACCTGGTTGGTTACAAGGGTCGTAAGGGGTGCCCTGGTAGTTGCAAGGGGAGACCGTGCATGCAGCGTAAGCTTCGTGGGAGCGATATCCCGGCGGCCACCGAGGCGACGCTCCTCCATGCTGCTGCGTTCCTGGAGTTCAAGCAGCACGTGGCGAGGCGATGCATTCTTGCCGCAGCAGTCCTTGGAAGACGCCAGAAATGGTTTTTGTACACCCCTCTGCGGCAAGCAGAGTTCCTCAGGGACATTGGCGGCCTGGCACATCGTATTATCCTGCGCTGTGTCATCACCTAAAGTTCGGGGAAACAACGAGTCATCGACAACGGTGACACCGGAGGACAATCAGACCTTTCTTCCGATGCTAATATGCTTACACCATGTAGTCGCACATAAGCCTGGTTATGCGTCGTTGGTCTGAGGACGAGGCCGCGGAGTTTTGTCACCATGATGCCTGGGAGACAGGCCAAGAGGACCTGCCGTCTGCCTACAGGTACTGCCCCATGTCACAGCAGGAGAGCTTAGGCTGCGTTGTCGTCTGGTTTCACTGATGAGTGGCAAACTCCGGTATACCAGGTCTATGCAGGCCTCTTGTTTAGGATCCCCCTGGCAGTCACTTCGTTCAACTGATTTTCCAGACTGTTGGAAGCGCTGACCCGCCGGTATTGCCAAGTTTTGACATCCCTGTACTTTGATGCCGCGATCACTGACGTCCGCTCTGCCAAGGGGGCAATGGGCGATGAACCAACTATGCCTGATGATCGGACCCCCATTTGCGGAAGACAAAACGCAGACCATGCAGAGCACTGGCGCTTCTCTGGGACTTACCCATGACCCGAGTTGCATCAATAAGACAGGTCATGTTCGTTTTTGGGCCCGCACCAGACTCCATGGCAAAGTTCGTGATTTCTTGCCACAGCACGTCAAGCAGGCCACTTTACTCGAGGCACAGCTTCCAAACTTTATGGACTTGCAAACTTCTTGGTGCAAGGTATTTCTGGGTGAGTCGGGTATGGCGGTCTCATGGCCATCAAGGCACGCAACTGGAGCTCTCTATGGTGTTGTGCGTCTTGATCGAGCGCCCCGACCTTTTTCGACATCGACATGGTCTTTGGTTCCTCGACAACGTTGCCGCAGTCATGACCTTGGTGAGAGGGCGCTCTAGCAGTTAGCAAAGCTCGGCCATTTGATCCATTTGGCTCTGTTTGCACTGCGTGCCCAGCACTTGAGGGTGCCCCACACTTGCCATGAATATGGATTGGCTTTTTCAGCGAATTTCAGTTTCCAAGTAGGGGTGATCCTACTTCTGGCAACCTGGATATTTGCGATTTCAGCAGCGCTGGCTGCTGCTGGTTTTGACTTCCCCAAGCAAGCTGGGTGTCGGCAGTGGGCACAGAAATGTGGGCGTTTGCTGTTTCAAGCAAGTTGGGTTTCAAGCAGGAGGTGATCCTGCTTGGTGTTCCTGCTTGGTGTAGCCGTACTTGCTTTCGTGACATATATTGGGGTCCAAGCGGGGGTGATCCTATTTGATGGCGCCCAACACTTGCCATGAGTATTGCAAACTTGAGTTTTTGCGTTTTCAGCGGAGCTGGAGGCTGTGGGTTTTGACTTCCCCAAGCCAGCTATGTTTCCAAGGCAACGCTACTTGAGGACCACAGGGGGAGTGACCACAGGGCTGTGGGCCTCTGCGTTCTCAAGCAGGTTGGGTTTCAAGCAGGAGGTAACCTGGTGTGGCCTTATTGCTTTCGTGGCATAGGTTTCGGGTCCAAGTTGGGGGTGGTCCTACTTGAGGGTGCCGAACATCTGCCATGAATATGGCTTGAAATTTTAAGAACAATTTCAGTTCCAAGTAGGGGTGATCCTACTTCTGGGCAACTTGGTTTTTGGCAATTCCAGCAGAGCTGGATGCTGTTGGTTATTTTGACTGCCCCAAGCAAGCTGGGTTTCCAAGTACAGGTAACGCTACTTGAGGATCACAGGTTGCCCACTGGCACTGCCAGAGAGTGACCACAGGGCTGTGGGCCTCCGCTGTCTTAAGCGGGTTGGATTTCAAGCAGGAGGTAATCCTATTTGGTGTGGCCGCACTTGCTTTCGTGACATAGTTTTGGGGTCCAAGTGGGGGCGATCCTACGTTTTGGTGCCCAGCACTTGCCATGAATCTGGCTCGAATTTTTAAGCGAATTTCGGCTACCAAGTAGGGATGATCCTACTTCTGGTAACCTGGGATTTTTGCAACTTCAGCAGAACTGGCTGTTGTTGGGTCTGACTTCCCTCCAGGAAGCTGGGTTTCCACGTAGAGGTGACGCTACTTGCAGGCCACAGGTTGCCCATCGACACTGCCAGGCAGTGACCACAGGGTTGTGGGCCTCTGCTGTCTTAAGCAGGTTGGGTTTCAAGCAGGAGGCAATCCTACTTGGTGTGGCCCTAATTGCTTTAGCGACACAGGTTCGGCGTCCAAGTGGGGGTGATCCTACCTGAGGGTGCCCAGCAGTTGCCATGAATATGGCTTGAATTGGTTAAGCGAATTTCAGCTACCAAGTAGGGGTGATCCTACTTCTGGAAGCTGGATTTTTGCAAATTTCAGCAGAGCTGGGGGCTGTTGGTTTTTGACTTCCCCAAGCAAGCTGGGTGTCGGTAGTGAGCACAGAGATGTGGGCCTCTGTTGTCTTAAGCAGGTTGGGTTTCAAGTAGGGGGTAATCCTGCTTGGTGTGGCCTTTTTGCTTTAGTGACACATGTTCTGGGTCCAAGTGGGGGTGATCCTACTCGTTGGTGCCCAACACTTGCCATGAACGTGGCGTCAGTTTTTAAGCGAATTTTTGTTTCCAAGTAGGGGTGATCCTACTTGTGGAAACTTGGAGGTTTTCGTTTTCAGCGGAGCTGGAGGCTGTTGGTTTTGACTGCCCCAAGCAAGCTGGGTGTTCTCAGTGCGCACAGAAATGTGGGCGTTTGCTGTCTTAAGCAGGTTGGGTTTCAAGCAGGAGGTATGCCTACTTGGTGTGGCCTTACTTGCTTTAGTGACCTGGGTCTGGGGTCCAAGTGGGGGTGATCCCACTTGATGGTGCCCAACACTTGCCACGAACATTGCTTGAATTTTAAAGTTAATCTCATCTTCCACGTAGGGGTGACCCTGTTTCTGCAAACTTGAGTTTTTGCGTTTTCAGCAAAGCTGGAGGCTGTGGGTTTTGACTTCCCCAAGCAAGCTAGGTCTCCAAGGCAACGCTACTTGAGGACCACAGGGGCTGTGGGCCTCTGCGGTCTCAAGCAGGTTGGGTTTCAAGCAGGAGATAACCCTACTTGGTGTGGCCTTATTGCTGTAATGGCAGAGGTTTTGGGTCCAAGTGGGAGTGGTCCTACTTGAGGGTGCCCAACACCTGCCATGAACATGGCTTGAAATTTTAAGGAAATTTCAGCTTCCAAGTATATAGGGGCAACTTGGATTTTTGCAATTTCACCAGAGGTGGAGGCCGTTGGTTTTGACTGCCCCAAGCAAGCTGGGCTTCCAAGTAGAGGTAACGCTGCTTGAGGATCACAGGTTGCCCACTGGCACTGCCAAGGCGTGACCACAGGGCTGTGGGCATCCGCTGTCTTAAGCAGGTTGGGTTTCAAGCAAGAGGTAATCCTACTTGGTGTTGCTTTAATGCTTTAGTGGCATAGGTTTCGGGTCCAAGTGGGGGTAGTCCTACTTGAGGGTGCCCAACACCTGCCACGAAATCCTACTTCTGGAAACAGTTTCAAGTCGAGGCAACGCTACTTGAGGCGCACAGGTTGCCCATCGACACTGCCAGGCAGTGACCACAGGGTTGTGGGCCTCTGCTGTCTTAAGCAGGTTGGGTTTCAAGCAGGAGGCAATCCTACTTGGTGTGGCCCTAATTGCTTTAGCGACACAGGTTCGGCGTCCAAGTGTGGGTGATCCTACCTGAGGGTGCCCAGCAGTTGCCATGAATATGGCTTGAATTGTTTAAGCGAATTTCAGCTACCAAGTAGGGGTGATCCTACGTCTGGAAGCTGGATTTTTGCAAATTTCAGCAGAGCTGGGGGCTGTTGGTTTTTGACTTCCCCAAGCAAGCTGGGGGTCGGTAGTGAGCACAGAGATGTGGGTCTCTGCTGTCTTAAGCAGGTTGGGTTTCCAGTAGGGGTAATCCTGCTTGGTGTGGCCTTATTGCTTTAGCGACATATGTTCTGGGTCCAAGTGGGGGTGATCCTACTCGTTGGTGCCCAACACTTGCCATGAATGTAGCGCCAGTTTTTAGGCGAATTTCGGTTTCCAAGTAGGGGTGATCCTACTTCTGGAAACTTGGATTTTTGCGATTTCAGCAGAGCTGGAGGCTGTTGGTTTTGACTGCCCCAAGCAAGCTGGGTTTCCAAGTAGAGGTAACGCTACTTGAGGATCACAGGTGGCCAGTGGGCATTGCCAGGCAGTGACCACAGGGCTGTGGGTATCTGCTGTCTTAAGCAGGTTGGGTTTCAAGCAGGAGGCAATCCTACTTGGTGTTGCCTTATTGATTTAGTGGCATAGGTTTCGGGTCCAAGTGGGGGTAGTCCTACTTGAGGGTGCCCAACACCTGCCATGAAATCCTACTTCTGGAAACAGTTTTTTTTTGTGGCAATTTCAGCAGAGCTGGAGGCTGTTGGTTTTGATTGCCCCAAGCAAGCTGGGTTTCCAAGTCGAGGCAACGCTACTTGAGGCTCACAGGTTGCCCATCGACACTGCCAGGCAGTGACCACAGGGTTGTGGGCCTCTGCTGTCTTAAGCAGGTTGGGTTTCAAGCAGGAGGCAATCCTACTTGGTGTGGCCCTAATTGCTTTAGCGACACAGGTTCGGCGTCCAAGCGGGGGTGATCCTACCTGAGGGTACCCAGCAGTTGCCATGAATATGGCTTGAATTGTTTAAGCGAATTTCAGCTACCAAGTAGGGGTGATCCTACGTCTGGAAGCTGGATTTTTGCAAATTTCAGCAGAGCTGGGGGCTGTTGGCTTTTGACTTCCCCAAGCAAGCTGGGGGTCGGTAGTGAGCACAGAGATGTGGGCCTCTGCTGTCGTAAGCAGGTTGGGTTTCAAGCAGGAGGTAATCCTGATTGGTGGGGCCTTCTTGCTTTAGCGACATTTGTTTTGGGTCCTAGTGGGGGTATTCCTACTCGCTGGTGCCCAACACTTGCCATGAATGTAGCGCCGGTTTTTAGGCGAATTTCGGTTTCCAAGTGAGGTGATCCTACTTCTGGAAACTTGGATTTTTGCGTTTTCAGCTAGCTGGAGGCTGTTGGTTTTGACTGCCCCAAGCAAGCTGGGTTTCCAAGTAGAGGTAACGCTACTTGAGGGTCACGGCTTGCCCATCGGCACTGCCAGGCAGTGACCACAGGGCTGTGGGCCTCTGCTGTCTCAAGCAGGTTGGGTGGTGTAGCCCTAATTGCTTTAGCGACATAAGTTCGGCATCCAAGTGGGGGTGATCCTACCTGAGGGTGCCAAGCAGTTGCCATGAATATGAACTTCAGTTTCCAAGTAGGGGTGATCCTATTTCTGGAAACTTGGATTTTGCAATCTCAGCAGCGTTGGCTGCTGTTGGTTTTGACTCCCCCAAGCAAGCTGGGTGTCGGCAGTGCGCTCAGATATATTGGCCTCTGCTGTCTCAAGCCGTTTGGGTTTCAAGCAGGAGGTGATCCTGCTTGGTGTGGCCTTATTGCCTTAGTGACGTAGGTTTGGGGTCCAAGTGAGGTAATCCTACTCGTTGGCACCCGTGTTTGCGTTTTCAGTAGAGCTGGAGGCTGTAGGTTTTTACTGTCCCAGCAAGCCAGGTTTCCAAGTAGAGGTAACGCTACTTGAGGTTCACAGGTTGCCCATGGGCATTGCCAGGCAGTGACCACAGGGCTGTGGGCCTCTGCTGCCTTGAGCAGATTGGGTTTCAAGCAGGAGGTAACCCTACTTGATGTGGCCTTACTTGCTTTTGTTACATAGGTTTGGGGCCCACGTGGGGGCGATCCTACGTGGTGGTGCCCAACACTTGCTGTGAATCTGGCTCGAATTTTTAAGCAGATTTCAGTTTCCAAGTAGAGGTGATCCTACTTTTGGAAACTTAGATTTTGTAAGTTCAGCAGCATTGGCTGCTATTGGTTTTGACTTCCCCAAGCAAGCTGGGTGTCGGCAGTGCGCTCAGATATATTGGCCTCTGCTGTCTCAAGCCGGTTGGGTTTCAAGCCGGAGGTGATCCTGCTTGGGGTGGCCTTATTGCCTTAGTGATGTAGGTTTGGAGTCCAAGTGGGGGTAATCCTACTTGCTGGCACCCGTGTTGGCGTTTTCAGCAGAGCTGGTTTTGACTGCCCCAGCAAGCCAGGTTCCAAGTAGAGGTAACGCTACTTGAGGTTCACAGGTTGCCCATGGGCATGGCCAGGCAGTGGCCACATGGCTGTGGGCCTCTGCTGTCTTAAGCAGGTTGGGTTTCAAGCAGGAGGCAATCCTACTTGATGTGGCCTTACTTGCTTTTGTGACATAGGTTTGGGGCCCACATGGGGGCGATCCTACGTGGTGGTGCCCACCAATTGCCATGAATCTGGCTCGAACTTCGGGAAACTTGAGGAGCAGGGCATCTATGGGCGAGTTGGCTATGGTGGCCTTATGGCAGTGAAGGCTTGCCAGGACGAGAGTGCCACCAGCTTGACATCAGAGATTGAAGAATGTTTCGAGGTGATCGAAGCAGTGATCCGTTTCGAGCCAAAACGTGAATTTACAGTTTTCCCAATGGAGCGGCTTCGATTTTTGGCTGCATCAGATGCAGCTGTCAAAGCGGAGAATCCAGGATCAGGCGGTTTTCACCTCATCTTTTTACAACCCGACAAACGGGAATTTCCCGTGCTGCGCTTCGAGCATCTGCGCTTCCTCGCGGCATCAGATGCAGCAGTTGAAGCAGACAATCCAGGTTCAGGAGGTTTTCACCTGATCTTTTTCCAGTCAGACGGATCACAAATTCGTCACAGTTTTGTGGCCAACAATTGTGCAGAGCTTCAGACACTATGGCAGCCTGCAGAAACCCACATCGCCCAGCTGGAACTCTCGATGGTGCTCTACGCCTTAGTCGAAAGACCTGACCTGTTTCGAAATCGACACGGCCTCTGGTTTTTGGACAATGTTGCAGCCGTCATGACGCTAGTGAGAGGACGTTCTAGCCATGCCGACTTAGCGAAGCTAGGTCATTTGATCCACTTAGCTCTGTTTGCACTGCGAGCCCAGGGTTACTGGGAGTACGTCCAGAGCAAGAGCAACTGGGCTGATGACATCAGCCGACTTGGCGTCAATGATCCTTGGTGGCGATGCCATGGTTTTGAATTTTACTCGTCGTATCTCCCGACCATCTTTTTCCAGCTGCCTTTTGTTGTTGTCATTCTCACCTTTGAATTCCTTTAATGCTTTGGGAAGTTTAGTGCATTGGGTGATACCGTGTGATACCTGCAGAGCAGGTTCCAGCCTGGAGTTCCAGGTAGCTGACCAGTGGTGAAACTGGTCTGTGGCTATGTACATGTCACACAGTGACAACCCAAAGCAAACCTGAGGATTGCAGGTGACATTGACTCAACATAGGCTTGGCTGTGGAAAAAAGGAAGCTGCGAGAGCGCGATCAGTATCGAGTTTCAGATGGCACTTTGAGATGTACCCATGCATTGAGTTTGGCAGGCTTGGGTGTGCATGTATCATCTTTAAGTGCTCCAATGAATGCTTTCATTTTGGCTCAAGTAAACTTGAACCAAAATAGCATTCATTGCTTTTTCTTTCCCCACCCTCCCAACCCTAAGAGCCGACCTCCCGTGGAGACGTCCGCCTAGGTTAGGGGAGCCTGCAAGGCAGGCGAGTACATAGCCTCTATCGGGGATCCTCTCTTGGGGTGACCAAGAGAGGCCTACCCTCCCTTAGGTTAAGGGACGGGTGATACCTGCAGAGCAGGTTCCAGCCTGGAGTTCCAGGTAGCTGACCAGTGGTGAAACTGGTCTGTGGCTATGTACATGTCACACAGTGACAACCCAAAGCAAACCTGAGGATTGCAGGTGACATTGACTCAACATAGGCTTGGCTGTGGAAAAAAGGAAGCTGCGAGAGCGCGATCAGTATCGAGTTTCAGATGGCACTTTGAGATGTATATATATACAATATACTGTATATATATATATATACACATGCAGCCAACAATATGAGTTGGGTTTGTCCAAGACTGGGGTCCATTTTGATGGGCAAGATTTTAGAATCAGAATAACCCACTGGACTGGAATTTGCAGTATCACATTTTCAGACAAGCCCACTTGAACGTGCATCCCAGTTTAATGCGTAAATCACAATGTTACAACTCAGATATATCCGTACAGGGAATACCCGAACTATATATATGGGCTGCAAAAAACTTACCCTCTGGTAAACAAACATAGCTATTGAAAATGGCCATAGACATAGTGGATTTACCCATAAAAAATGGTGATTTTCCATAGTTATTAGCCAGGCCGGGTAGATTCCAGGATGCACCTCCAAGTATATCCTCCATATCTTGATCGCCATGCAGGAACATGACATTGGTTGGCTGAAGCATATTGGTTGGCCCAATATTATTATGCTTAGAAAGCCTTTTCTTTCTGACACATTCCAAGTCTTGTTGATAGAGGTTTTGATGAGATTCCCCAACTAACTCCCATTTTCTTACGGTTTTCCACTCACGCGGTTATGTTTCAATTGATGTACTTAGCTTATTACTATTAACATTATTACAATGTTTTTTTTTTTAAATATATCTAGCTTTTGTATGCTTTTAGCATGTCCAACTTTACTATTCAACTTTTATATCCAACTTTATAATTACTGTTTACTATAGCCATTCACTTATGATGAACTCGGCCCTTTTATCAGCTGTACTATGATTAAGTACCACAATAAGTTTGGCAAATGTAGGTAAACTAAGGTATGTATACTTGGTGGCTCGTTCCAGTTAGAAAGTGGATTGTAGCCCTGATTACAACTGGACTACTCCTACCCCCCTACCCTCCTTACCATACTTACCCTACTAAGCCACATACTGGGATGAGCCACCAAGTACATACATGCAGCTTATTTATGTATAATATTTATACAATATAATATATATATATAGAATAAGATAATATATATACAATAAAATATATAACATAAATATATTATACACAGCATATCCCAAGTATATCCCCACTGTTGAAGAATATGCCATGCATATCCCATTAACATCTGATAAATTGGCGAACTTATTTCATTAATATCCGATTCATTTTCCCATTCCATGGAAAATCATGGGACATGATTCGGATTCCGTTTATGGAAAATCACCATCTGAAGAGCTACTATTTTACGAACTCACCATCTATAAACGCTCCATTTTCATCCATTTTCCAGTTCGCAAAGTCTTAGTTTTTTCGAGGGCACCATGGGATCCCCGGGAATCCCAGGAGTAAGATGCCGGTGGTGCCACCAATACTGGTGCTGAACTACACACTGCCCAGCTCACCTTCAACGGTCAAGGAGGAAATTGAGGCGCTGTGTGACCGTTTTGCAGGGTTCAGACCGTTTTCAGACCCACAAAATGCTGGTTGAACCAGCAAAGATTGGAAAATACCAGGTGGGTCAGGAAAAGATTGCAGTGTGCGGATGTACATCGCAAAAGTTCATGGTGAGGATGCAGTCGAGGTTGAAGTCGCAATCAATGTCACTCGCAATGATGAAATTCCGCGGAAATTCGAGGTGATGACTTTTCTGGTTATTGAACTTACCCTCTGGTAAACAAACATAGCTATGGAAAATCACCATTTTTAATGGGTACATCCACTATGTCTATGGCCATTTTCAATAGCTATGTTTGTTTACCAGAGGGTACACTCAGGAAACACTGAGAGATCAAACCCACAGAAAACACGGTCAAACATCCCAGGTATAGATATATCTGGATGAATTATATAATGACCTCACATCGTGACGTCGCTGGAATGATGATTAGGATTTCGGGAATCATTTTTTGCAGCTGGCCTATCTTCTCAGCCATTTGCAGCTTCCTGAATTAATATCAACCAGATCGTTGTCATCTATATCTGTATATCCCACACATATATATGTATGTATATACGTATATACATCTTCCCATATTATTCTGGTGATAGTGATATTCCCATGATCTTCCCATGGTTGTTGGTTAAATCCCATCTATTTCCACCAGCTTTTTCGACTTTTAGCGGCCAGGCGACCTTGTCATGGCTTCCGGGTCAAGGATATACTGAGATCGTGGTGGTAGGAGCCGTGGGACGTTGCTTGCCAGGCGTACTGACGTACTGCTGAATTTCTGACTTTTGGATGACTTTGGAGGACTTTTGGATAACTTTGGATATCCAACTGAACAGAAACCCAGCAGAAAGCCACTTTGGATTGTTGGATGACTATACAGTTGGATGGGTGAAAACAGACCAAATCAATCCGTTCCTGCACTCCACAGCTACTACCAAATCCTCGAGTAAGTAACCCCAAACGAAACCCTGCTGGATTATTCTGGATCTATTGGAGTCAGTGGGGATTGTCATCACAGTTTGAACATCAACCTGAGACACACCAATTTTTTAACACATGCACTCGCTGCGAGGAGATTCTGCTGGTGGCTATTTGGCAGTGCAGACCTTCCTGCAACAGACACACAAGATCTGTGGCGCCGTGGGCATTTGTCCGCCGCTGCTTGGTTCTGGGGAGATGGATTCAGCCGTGGTGTGTTTTTTTCGGGATTTCAAGCAACAAACAGGTGGTTTCAGCCCCAACGACCAAACCAAAGGTGTTTGGATTCGACTCTCAGGTTAGACTTGACCTTTTCTGGAGACTCCTACGAGCGGAACACAAACAGCTGCTTGGCTTTCTCGGGAGTTCAGGCAGTGCCGGCACCAGAGGGAGTTGCCTTTCTGGGAACTTCCCCTGTTTTTAAAGATGGTATTTAAACATACTGTATATGTTATATTATGGTAATTTTTGTTACGTATTTAAATACGCACATATTAATTACATACACATCCGGTCCAGTATTGTATATCGTCCTATCATCCACATGAGTGGGCAGATCTGCCGACATTTATGCTGTGTCGCAGGTTGCTTTTTAACCAAGAGCTTTGTGGAGTATGCACGTGCCTGGTCTGCCTGGTCTGCCAGCCGTTCAACATGTTCAACGTTGGTGAAAACCTCCATTGAGGATTTGATGCGTATGGGGCCTGGGGGTTTATACTTCAGTCGCCCCTCGGTCAAGCGGCATTTTGGAGATTTGCATCTAAGATTGGCGTGGGCATCGCTTGTAGTGAAAATCACATGTTGGGATCCTATGTCAATCGTCTCAAACATGCCTTTCATCAAGTTATGGCCCCACCTCTAGTTATGGCTCCATAGTGTCCTTGGGGTGAAAGATGGGCCCCAAATGGCCAATTTCCTGACAGGACATAGGATTCATATCATGATTTATATCATGAGACCATCCAAGATTGAAGCCATGAGACAAATCCCATACCCTCTGGTAATTTGTTACAGTTTGCTATTGAAAATGGCCCAGTCGACATCCATAGACATAGTTGATTTATCATGATTTCTCCATTAATAGCATGGTGATTTTCCATGGTTATGTTAGTCATAACCAGATGGTCATATCCTATGAAATCCCATTAGATCCCATTAAACCACCCAGAAAACCAGGTCTCGTTGACCAGGCCGGGTATCTACCACGGCATCGTGATATCTCGACCGAATCTGAGGCGCCGCATATCTGCAGCTGGATCACCAGGATGCTCAGAGCGTCTCCGATGCAACGGCCAGGCGCGGTTGGCTGGACACAGCCAGGCATGTTTTTTGGTCATGTTTCTGGTGATATATGGTGAATATCACCTGGTTGAACTGAACTAATATGTTGAAAAATGTTGAGAATTCTGAGGCTGAGTGGCTGTTGATACTTTGATATGAAAGTGCTGTTGAAAAATCTGCTAAATGAGATCAGAAAGGCATGCGATGGCTGTTGTTTTTGAATTGTCTTGAGGATTTTGACCACACAAAAAGAGCGGGCTCAACATGGCTCAATTCTCAAACTCCGAAAAAAAAGGGTGGACACTTCACCTCTCCATGTTGGGATACTTTTGGGGATTAGATGTCACTAAGATTGGGGGTGAAAGAGTAGTTGGTCCTAGACTTTGGGGGATTTGCATACAAATATTGTCAGTGTGTCAGTGTGTCCGTGATAGGGTTGTGCTACCTGGTTTCAGAGGGATCTTCACTTGTATGCGGGGTTGACACAAGGGCTTTTTGATATTGCTCGCATGAGTATGGGTCGAGAGTACCCCCAAATAAGATCAAATAAGCCTGAAGTTTGAAATGACTCAGTACTGCATTGGATATTGAACAATTTTTATACATTTTTATACATTTTTCATGGGTTTCAAATACATCATTCCATCGTTGTTTTTTCAGATTCTCCTAATTTTCAATCCCGGGACAAGCCATCATCCCAGAGGAACTTCTGGAGGCTGCTTCAATGACTACGTCCGGCTTGAACAGATTGAAGAAATTGAAGATCTTAAGTAATTTACATAAATCATCATAAATCCATATCGGGATGGGTCAAAACCTTGTACCCCTGGTGAACATCAAAATAGATGGTAAATGGATGTTCATCCCACTAAAAATGGTATTAATAGGTATTGATCCATAGCGATATAAATACCACTTTCATAATACAGGGATTACTAGTCCATAAGCCATTTAATTTGATCTTCCAGAAGTCATTGATCCCAAGTTTTCCATTCCCAGGATGCACAGCATCACTCTAAACCCTCAGAAGTTGGCGCTGCTGAAGGAGCTGGGGGAGTCATGAAACATATTATCCTAAGAAAGGCACTAGATATATATTGCAATTACATATATATATATATATATTATACATAGTTGTATATTTCTATTTATGTGTATATATGTTTGTGTAATAAGTCATGATAATACACAATTTGTATACACATATATCAATGATATGCATCACTATATACACAACATGTCATCCCAAGGTTCTGGGGCTTAGACAACGTCCAGCTGTGAGATCAGCATGAGCCACTGGTGCAAGTCAGTGAGCCACTGATGCGGGTGTGTTTGCGAAGATTCACCCCAAAAGATGTCTCACTATTAGGTATATATACATCACACATCATCACACATACTGTATATATGATATGATATACTCACATATATATATACATACATATATATATATATATAATATACATATTATATAAACATATATATATATATATATATATACGCGAGGGGACTGAGGTTCTCCGATGCCATCAGCTGTGTTTGAGTGTCAACATGTAAAAAAACAGCTGGCGCCTAGGTAATTTGCCAATTTTTCAATAGTGGCAACGTCCTTTTCAGCATCATGTTGAACGGATCATTTTTTTTTCGTCCGTTTTAAAGCAGAGTCATCTTGTGCCATAAATCATGTTCTCAGAAGTCAGAAATCGCATATTTTGGTGTAAAATTGTGAATTTTCATCGTATAGTCATGGCGTGGTCATGTAAAATTGAGCAAATGTACTGTGTTTTCTCAGGCATTTTGCGTCATGCTACTTTTGCACTGTTATTTGCAATGAATTGGCAATGTGTAGAAAATTGCAAGTGCTGACAGTCAGGCGATTTTTGTGTTTTCATTCTATATAGTACACTGTGAACACTGAATGTTTAGTCAGCAGCACGCACGCAACAACGGTGAAACGTTTTTTTCACTTTTCCCACGAGAGGCCGCATTTAGCATCAACGTAACATGAACATGACGGTAACATGCCCCACCCCACCCCACTCCTCCCATCAACGTAGCATCAACGTAACATGAACATGACGGTAACATGCCCCACCCCACCCCACCCCTCCCATCAACGTAGCATCAACGTAACATGAACATGACGGTAACATGCCCCACCCCACCCCACCCTCCCATCAACGTAGCATCAACGTAACATGAACATGACGGTAACATGCCCCACCCCACCCCACACCCACCCCACCCTCCCATCAACGTAGCATCAACCATGAACATGACGGTAACATGCAACGTAACATGAACATGACGGTAACATGCCCCACCCCACCCCACCCCACCGCTTCTCCATCGGAGAACCCCAGGCCCCTCGGGTATATATATGTACACATACATGTCTGGAACAGATTGGTTGTGAAACATCCCTCTTCGGCGATCTTGCCATTTCCTGCCATTCCTTGCTTCGAAACGGTCTTGTTTCGGTGTCAGGAGCATCCCATGATGTTGGTGGCTTGCGACCCGGCGCGGGGAAATCTGACGGATCTGTCCCTGGTGAGCACCCCCACTTTATGGTCCCCTATTAATGTGTAAATCCCCTACATCCACCATGGTTTCTGGGGGGTGTTCAATGTAAAGGGGAAGGGATTTCGAGCATTTTCAATTTATGATTTCTGTTTTTCGTTTAGTATACCATTCAATAGCCCAAAAAAATCGATGGCTGACGCATGCAATTAGTAGGCGACCCATTTCTTGGCCAGTATAAAGTTAGCACTAATCAAACACACTAAAAGAACATATTTTTAACAAAGAAATGGATAAACAAAACCCAGTTACAACATATTCAATTATTTAATTATTAGTTCTATTACAATTTGTTTCAACGGATAAACTAATAATCCACCAATTCGTGGATGTCTGCCCCGTAGTTGACCAACTGTCGGACCGCCACAATGGATTTTGATAATCCCCAATATATAAAGGAAGGGCAGGGTAGGTCAATAACTCCTGAATGACTCATCAACCAACCATCATTTATAATTTTTAGTATATCGATTGATGATACTCATCTCATCTTCATGTTGTTGGTTTTCCCCAAAAATCATGGTAAAATTGTCCATGAGATCGCCAACAGTGGTGACCATTAGAAATCACTCAAGCACCGTTTGGCTTTTTACATCCGGCTTCCGGAGAGTTCACCGAAAAAAAGTGGCTGAATTCTATGGGGTTTGTGGTAGATATAACGAACGATTTAATGGTAGATAACTATTTATGGTTTATGGTAGATATAATGGTTTATAAACCACCAAACATAACTATCATAACTGGGGGGTTAATAACCTTCTGTATGAAATAACGAACTAATCATCAACCCCTAGAGCTCAGCCACCAATCCGAGGTGAGCAAGATCTGATGTACGACGAAGTGGGCACCTTTGCTGCCGCCGCTGCGCGTGCAGGAGCTTCCAATGGGGTGCTGGTCTGCGACGTGACGCTTGGAAGATGGGAACTGGGGAGAATGGGAATAGACACATAATGATGTGGCAATACATATATATATACATATATATATACATATTATATATATATATACATATTTTATATATACATATATATATATATACATATTATATATATATATACATACATATATACATATATATATATATATACATTTCCGAGAAATTCACTACACCCCGTTCACAATGTGCAATCTCATTGTAAGACCACGTATCAACTGTTGGTTTAATATGGCCCAAAATTCATGATCCCCTTTTTCAATCTTTTTCACGGTGACCACCCAACAAAAATCCGACCGCAATCCCATTCTTCTTGGCTAAAGCCACCATTTCCCCATTCACAATAATGAATTGTGGATTTTTTTGGTCCCATGAAAGACGATAACATATAATGCCAACACCGGATTAATAAACCCCCCCCCAGAAGGTAGGGAGGTACCTTCTGGCTAGTTTTCTTGACGACCCTTTAATAATAAGCAACTCTGAGCCATAAAACTTTGGATATGGCTTACGTCAGTTAGATCTTAATAGAATTCCATTGGATTTGTTAAAATTTCATGGATCAGAAAGGTGGTTGATTAATCAGGGGCAAACCCTGGTTATTATTAATGGGGGACATGGGCTCATGGGGGGTACCCTTTGGGAGCTATCCAAACTGATGATTTTTATAAAGATTTTAATTAGAAATCGATCATTTGGGGGATAGTTGTTTTTTGAAATTTTCGATGATCAACTTAAACCTGAAGTATAACAATGATGATTAAAAAAAAGGTCAAAAACAATTGGAAATAAATAGAATTGGAAATAAAAAATGTTGGATAAAAAAGATTGATTTCCGAAGTGGTTGTTGATTAATCGGGGGTAGGCCAAAAAAATTATTAATCCTGGGGGACCACCTGTTTTTAAATTACAAAAAAAAATTTGGGCAGTTGCTGTTGATTAATCGGGAGGGCATTATTAATCCTCACTTGACATTATACCCCATACTATACCATGTCTTAATGGGATTGTACCATAGATCCCATTCACAATCCCATTCAGCATCCCAGATTTGGGAGATGTCCCCACAGCATCCCCAGCTACAAATCTCCGAACGTTCGTACGGATTTCCCAGCCATGTTTGATGACACCGAAGGGTATCAACAATATGATTACATTCCCAGCATATACACACTATATCAATCTATATCACCTTTTTTGCTAGTCAAATCCTCTAAAATTTTAATGGTACGAATCCGTTACAAATCTAGATTTTTGGTAGTTGGTTAGTTCGATCATCATGACATTCCGATGATATCACCGTTATTCCCATAGATCTTCCCATTGCAATATCCCATTTACATTCCATTTGATCCTATTTTTCAATATCCCATTACTATCCATTATTATTGATATTCCCATAGATATTCCCATTCATTCCTATCCCATTGGGTTAATATCCCAAGATATCACCATGAATCATATACTGGGATATTCCCATTCTATTCCCATTATTCATATGATATTCCCACATATATTTACATCCCAAGATACGGTGGATGGAAGAAATCCTGGACCAGTTGATAGGCGGTAAACATCCCAGTATTTATAGGATTTCAACCATCCGTGTGGTGATGCAGGATTTCGCAACCATCCACAGTATCACCATATAAAAACCATAGATATCTAATTTATATCCCATAGATATCTAACCATAAGATATTATATACTATATTTTTATATACCATAAGATCCAATGGGATATAAGAACCATAGATATCTCATTTAAAAAAAACCTGGAACATGGTGGTTTTTATATCCCATTTTTCCCATTAAAAACACCCACCATTTTTCACCCAAGCAACCAGAAGATGTCCCGAGGCGCGGCGAGGCCAGCTTCCACATCTCGCTGCTGATGCCAGGCCTGGCAAATCCTGCGCACCAACAGGCCATGGATCAGCACCTGGGACTGGTTGACTGGACCTTGGAGCTTTGGGAAAAATGGCTGGGTTTTTGATATGAGATATCTATGAGATATCTATGAGATATCTATGAGATATCTATGTTTTTTTTTTAATATCCCATTGGATCTTATGGTATATGAAACATATTATATATCTTATAGTTAGATATCTATGGGATATCAATGAGATATCTATGGTTTTTATTTGGGCAAAATATGGAAGTTTCACCAGGAAATAGGAGCTAAATAAACCTCCAAGTTACTTGGGTTTGACTAATATACATTAATATCTATTTGTCATATATCTATTTGTCTATGATATATATATATATTTGTCTATGTACTTCTACTTATGTTTATACTTATATTCGTACTCGTACTGGTACTTATAGACAGAAAAACTGGTTGGTGGTTTCGGAAGATTTTTTCTTCCTTATATTGGGAATGTCATCATCCCAACTGACGAACTCATATTTTTCAGAGGGGTAGGTATACCACCAACCAGATTATTATTAACCATCATTAACCATATAATAACCATTAATATTAACCATATATTAACAGTATATTACCAACCAGTTAATGTTGGTTAGATGACTTTAGTTTCGCCCAGGATTGGGAGCTACATCTTTCAAGCTCTGACGCGCGCGTGAAAACATGCGACTGGAAGCTGGGGATCAATGGGTAGGAAACCAAGCATGTCATGGGATAACATGTGGGACAAATGTAAGTATGTAATGTATGAAATGCATGTATATTTAAATGTAAAAATATCTATATGGCAGCTCTGGAGTCCAACAGCTCAGGAATGTTCAGCAGATTTGTAGCACTGACTCTGCTGCACTGCTGCAATTTTGGCAGATGAAACCGTGTGGTGACATGGGGCCATTAAGAGACTATGGTGGTGACAGCTCCATATGTCTGACATCTTTGGTTGGCCGCCCATCGTCTTTGGCCTTTTCAGGGGGCTGAATCTCATTTGAGCATCATCGAAGCGGAAACTCATTTTCCAGGTCCTGTATGGGCCATGGCTCTGGTGAAACCATGGTATTTTTGCTGAGAAAATTAGCGTTTCTGCCCGGCTAACTGATCGTTTTGGTTGATCGAAAGCCTATACTATCAACAAAACAGCCAATACTAATCATCAATCCACATTAATCCACGTTAATCCACATTAATCCACATCCAATTCACAGGCATCTATAAACCACCGTTTATGGCCTGTGCCTTCCACTACCACGCCTTTCAGGCCATCTCAAATTCCACCACAGCAAAGGCTGGGAGCGCGTAAGACAAAGCCGTTCCATGGATGTGGCCATTTTGGTTCTATGAACCGATTGGGTGTACATGTGTGTATATACCCTCTGGTTATTTAACATAGCCATGGAAAATCACCATTTTTAATAGGTAAACCCAGGTAAACCATCTATAAATGGGCCATTTTCCATGGCTATGTTAAATAACCAGATGGTATATATATATCTACATACAGTATACATGTTGTTAGAACAAGACATGCCAAAAAGCGTGAAACCAAAATATGAACTAGATGACGTTTCTTCATGTTTCTTCCATATTTTCCAGGTGTCCGGTTTTATGTACACAAAACACCAAGTATCTATAGAATCTAAAACGATTATTGTTTACATAAAAGAAATGTTGATCTTCTACAGTATACCCATTGTTGTTAGTTGGGTCTTGGGAAATCCGGGATCCTGCTGACCTGACCAGTCTTGGGGGAGAACCATCCCTTTGGATCATAGTTTACACTGCACATCATCCCATGTGGATATCCATGTGGAAACGCACTAATTATTGTGTTTGTCCCATGAGTATCCCAGTTATCACATGACTCACATGTTATCACCATATCATTATAGTCAATTGCCCAGCTTAACCTGTAACATATGAAATAACCCAGTTGTATAGGAAACCTTATGAAATATGGCTTTGTTTGAACATATGGTACCACCATTCCATCCAGCGGTTTATCATAATTTTCCTGAAAAGTGAGACACGTCAGTTTGGGGTACAGACATGATCACTGAATCCCCCTTAGATCCCCACATGATGATTTTCTGCAAAAATACATGTAAGTAAGAACCATATGTCATATTTCCAGTTATAATTTGTTGGTGAAGTAAAGCTTTGTATATTCCATAAGAAACCACCATTACCCTCTGGTAAACCAACGTAGCTATGGAAAATCACCATTTTTGATAAGTAAATCAACTATAAATGACAATTTTCAATAGCAAACGGTTAAATTACCAGAGGGTATATCCCCATGAAATATCCACCATTACAACCAATTCCTTAAGCCCTCGGCTCGGGCCTGCGAACGAGACGGCGCCAGGCTGAAAGGGCGCTGCAAAGTTGTGAGGCAGCGACGGCTTTTCGGTTTCGTTGGTAACTGATGAGGTTTCATTCAGTTTTTTTTGATATTTTCTATGATATAACCAATATATATATAAATATTATGATAATGATATGATGAAGATTGGTTATTCTATGTTATTCTATGATAATTTAAGACATGAAACTCAGGTTGACTAGAACACTGTTAGATTCTTTTGACCATTTTGACCCCGACTGGTCATTTGCCATGGATGATTGGATGATGGTCGATTTAGATAGCCATTCATGATGGGGCGGCCAAAAGATTTAACGGGCATCCGTGGCATTTTTGGACACGTTCACACGTTTGGGACGTTTATCTTTATGTCATTGTGTATATATTATATATTGCATCAAAAACGCCTTGTGCTTAAGAGGTTGCCCTTCAGACTATGCCCTTGCAACTGGTCGTCATTTGTTGACCGGGTCGTCTCGTCCTTCAGACAGCACAGCATTCATCGTCATCATCAACTGGTTTTCCCATAGATTTTGAATTTCCTCAATATTTCATAGGATATCATAGGATAACAATGACATCATCATACATATTCATCATCAGAATTGTTGTCCGTGGAAGGGAACTGAAAACATCGCAAGCGTAATGCCGCATAGACTTTTTTTTTTAGATACACACATGACACCAAGTAAGTTATGTGATAGTTTTTTTTGGGAATGAGGAATGAATAAACACAGATGCCATCCCATAGTAATTTTCACATTAGGATGTAATGAATAAACCATACTAATCCCATCATTAATCCCATAGTAAAATGAATAAACCCATAGTAATTACTCTAAATCCCTCATGAGTTTTCCACCATTTTAGCAGGCCCTATATATCAACCCATCTTCACCATCTCGCCACATCACGTCCCGGGCCACGTCCAGCCTGGAAGCAACGAGCACTTCAAGGTGGGGCCAGGGGCCAGGTCATGGCAGCCATGGCCGGCCAGTGAAAAATGGCCTCTGGGGCCAGGAATGGATTAATGGATGTAGCATTTTTTTCCCATTAAAAATGATGATTTATGGTGGTTTAATGGGTTTTTACGGTGGTTTAATGGGATCTAATGGGATTTAATAGGATTTACCCTCTGGTAAACATACAAAAAACTATGGAAACCCACCATTTTCAATGGGAAAATCCACTATGTCTATGGCCATTTTCAATAGCTACGTTAAATTACCAGAGGGTACCCCATCTGAAGATTGGCCACTGGTAAAATGTGTCATGTTTGGTTGGCGAACAACAAGACTGACCACCAGAAAAATCATCCAGATCAGCCAGAGGAACCGGCCGTGGCCCTCGGCTTGAGTTGATACGTGGCCACATGTTGAAGGTTGGTCAAAGCCAATCTTCTGATGCCAAGCCCGCCCATTTCGGGTCCTCTGGGTCCATGTTTGCAAGAACCGTACATCTGTACTACCACAAAGATACGAATAGAAACGCGTCAGATTTTCACCAAATACTCGGAATATCTTGTAGAATCTTATAGAATATATTGAATATACTGTAATCATGGGCAGAAACCGCATAGAAACCATATAGAAACCATATAGAAACCATAAGCTCAGTGGTTTCCCCGGTTTTTTTCACCTTCCAAATCGCCCAATATTTTTTGCGGTGCGCGGTGCAACGCCCGAGGCCTTGCTGCAGGATCCCAACTTCGTGCGGCTTTTTGAGCAGCTGCTGCAGCAACAAGGCCTGGATTTCCATGTGAGCTGTGGTCAATACTCATGGTTAATAACCATTAAAAACGGGGCTAGTCATCCAATGGTTCAGGATGGGATTTATAATAACCATTATAAGGATCCTTATTATGGATGGGATGACCATCAACCATATAGTGAGTATTGACCATGGCTCATGTCATTTCACCAAGCGTTTGGGTTGAAAAAAGGTCGATCTTTGGTTGACATTGGGTTTTTATGAAAGGGTTGATGTATGGGGTTATATATGTGATATTAGTATGGGTTGAATGGTAGTGCTAATGAAAAAAACAACGCTGGTTGATATAATAACTGGTTGATATGATATCTGGTTGATATAATATCTGGTTGATATAATATATGGTCGATATGAAATATATGGTTGATATGATATATGGTTGATATAATATATGGTTGATATGATATATGGTTGATATGATATATGGTTGATATAATATATGGTTGTACATATATTGACATCTCGAACTTTTCATATGTTTTTTTCAACATGTTTGATTCTCACTGACAGGACCGCGCGTAGTAAGTTTGAAGCCGGTGACTTGACCTTGGCCATGCCTAGTGCCTGTGCCCAGACTCCCAGACTCCCAGAGACTGGTTTTGTGATGCGACTTCCCAGGTCTCATGGGGAAGAGCACCGGTGTGGAAGATTTGTGGTGCCTCGGCACGAGCATTGGAGATTTGTCACCAAAAGTTCGCCAAGTGCCAAGTTTACAGTGGTCACTTTAGGATTTTGCAAGGAAAACCAATGGGTTTTTGAGGTACCGCAATTTCAGAAACATCCAAATATGTGATAAAGATATGAAGGACTCCATGTGGCCAGGCTCTTTGACTTGCAGCGTGGGGTGTGTTTTTGTTGACGTATTCCTGTTCTCTGCAGTGGTATGGGTCAATTTTTTCAGTCCCGGCAAATTCGATTAACACTACATGAATAAACACCTCCAACATCTTTCTTTGGTTTGCAGGTTCTTGGATTTTGACCCTCATCTCTGTAGGTCGATGCTCCTTCAGGATAAGCCTGATCTCTTCAACAGGTGGGAAGATCTTGGAAGCTGTTCCAGGCATAAGTGGTTCATAATGCCAGCTATCATCGGTATATTCCATTACCATCTGGTAAACTAACAGTTTGCGAACTTGAACATGGCCCATTTATACTGTAGTTGATTTACCTATTAAAAATGGTGAATTTCCATCGTTTTATGTATGTTTACCGGGCCGGGTACTGGTTAAATTCCACAGCAGCCCTGGTTCATCCTGGGCTTCTTGCCGCTATGTACATCATCGGATTGGCGGCCGTGATTTTTCAGGCTTTGCATCATGGTTACTAATGAATATCATTGGGTAGTCCAATATATAATATATATAATATATATATAATATAATATATATATATATATAATATATAATATATAATATATATATAATATATATAATATATATATAATATATATATATAATATATATATATATAATATATAATATACATCCAGGTTCCAGTTCCGATATATATATATATATATCTTGGTTACTAATGAATATGGCTAGTCTAGTCCAGTTTACATCTGGTTGTACTTCCTTTGCAAGGAGTAGGAACCTTCCAGTGCACCATTTGTAGATATTTGTAGCATGTACGTCCTCGATTATACAATGAGATCATCTGTAAGCATCACTGCCTAGCCCGAGTTACTGACAACATTGACAACATGATCAAACATTACTACACATCTAGTTTAAAGTTTAAATTACTTAACACTAGGTGTGCAGAACTTTAGCAACCATAATAGATGTGCTATGGTCAAACTGGCCTTTTCAATGCATTTTAATGAGACTTATATAGACTTTATATCATGATTCCATGGCATATTCCCCTGGGATGGATGACCATGGATGATGCGGGATTACTTTGAAGCCTTGAAGCCTCGAAGCTTCGGGGGTTACTATGGATCACTATATGTATATATTATATGTATATATTATATATATACATACATGATTTACTAAGTGAATCCCTACTAATTTGACCATGATTCACTTCTTTAAATGTATGTATATCTTCATTTCCAGTTGGATTCAACCTGTCCAAGCTGTCAACCTTGCCAGACCAGCGCACGAGCTGGTGCAAGCGAGCAACGCCGATGTGGCGAAAGCCTTCATGGGAACCCGGACCGACGGGGGACGCGCACAGCGCGACCAGCGTGAGGTTTATCTAACATGTCATGAAATATCTAACATTAACATACATTAACAATGTCATTAAATATGGTATCTGACATTAGATATGTTACATAAGATATCTATTATGTTTATTATGTTAAATATCTAACATAATTATACATAATTGAACAATGACTACGTAGATAAACCAGATAAACATCGATTTTGTCATATTTCATCCGATAAATATATGGTAAACATCTAAGATGTCATTTTTTGAAACCTCTATTTTATCATGAAATACCTAACAATATTAAACACCTCCTCCAGACACCACGGTTTCGTAGGAAATTATCTAGCAATAATGGATGATTGTTCTGAAATACCTAGCAAATGTTAAACATATCCCAGAAACTGTGGTTTAGTAGGAGATCACTTCCAATATTTATACTCTAGTTCAGGTAGATATTAGTATAATATCTGGTCTCAATTAAATACGTATATTCAATTATTCAATCACCTACAATAATTATCTATAGCCACGCCACATAATACTGTATTTGAATGTATTTCATAGTTGAGTTTTCCATACTCTTTTCTTTAGAGGGACAGCATTTCCTTGATCTACGACAGACAAATGGGTTGGTTAACCACCCATCAGGTGTGAGTTAGATGGGAGTTGTAGCCATAATTTCACAATTTATGGTCATTTTGGAACACATTTTAGAAGCCATGTGATATCATGTGATGGCGTCTTGACCTGATAAACTCCCCATTCGTTTTTCATCCCCGTATTGAAGATGACTATCGTGGAGATGTGAAAGCGCTGTTTCTGCCTTTGGAAGACCATGGAAGACCCCAAGTCCCACCCTTCGCCGTCGCCCATGTTGGCTTCAGCAAATGGCACATGGCCCAGCTGTCAGGTGAGGACGACTTCCAAAGATTGAAAACAGAACACCAGCCAATCATGCATTTATACATGCCAATAATATACTGTAATATAATTATAACATAATGTAATATACATACATATATATATATATTTATGTATATATATATACATGTATGTATATATATATACATGTATGTATATATATATATGATATGTACAACATCTGACAATATCTGACATGTTCCCTGATCCCTGGCTGAGTGAGTCAGGCTGAGAAACTGGAACAACATTTCAACCCCAACTACACAGCGCGCGGGTTACGGGCAGATCTCGTGGTGTGCCAAAGGCGGGGGATTTTCGCCCGTGATCCGCATGTGTTCTCGCCTCAAACCTAAACGAACTTTGTCGGAGAGAAGTCCTGAAACCGCCACAGGCAACCGCCACGATGTATCTTGGACTGAAAATGACCTGGTAAAGGAGGACCCAGGATGACCGAACTCTATGTTTTTCTGGGGAGAAATACTAAGCGTTACCCACCAAGTACCACTTTCCAAAGAAGTTCTCATGTTGCCGAGTGATTGTTCGACATTGGAGTCCATGTTGAACAGCCTTCGGGTACGTCTTCCTGGAAAACAGTGATGCGGATGGAGTTTATACCCAGCTCACTCCACACCGAGTATTACCACCGTCATCCACCGTCAATGACAGGGTTTACAATTGTTTACAGCCATTTTACAACTTCACCCATCGCTTTTGAAGTCTCCAACTTTTGACCACTTGACGTCACTACTCATTTGGGTTTGTCTGAAAAAAAGGTATACGCCAAAATCGATTGCTTCATGATTTTCTTCACAAAACATGCAAGTTTGCTGGATTTTTTTGAGGTATGCCCCATCTTCAAATAAATTTCTGATACCCAAATATACAGATTCAAAAATCTTCTTATCCCAATTACTTGGGTTAGTAATCCCATTACTGTCAGGTAAAATAAATATCTGACACAGACCCACCAGCATTGGGATCCCGGTGAGTTTCACCCCAAGGTCCAAAGCTGCGTCCCTGAAAACCATGGAGGTGTCCTGTGTGACGATGGCCAAAGGGCACCAACACGTGGAAGTGGTGGTTCCGAGCTCGGGACGGGAAATGGATGGTTGATTAAAGATGATCATGGGAGGTGCTTTTCAGTGGTGTTAAACGCTTTTTGGACATTTTTGCTTAAGCTGACAACCTTTGTTTGGTCGGTTAGGGAGTTATTTTTGTTTTTGGGAGTGGCTTGGTGAAATCACTTTTTGCTGGAGTGGTTGTGAATGGTTGATATGGATCCAGATGGGCCAGTCCATCTGGTGGCCTGGATCTGAACAAATACCAAGTTGGGGGTTTCCTAAGTCATGGGGGTACCCCTAAAAATCATCATTTTTGTTTGATTGTCCAAAAAAAAAACAAGAGTGAATTGGGGTATCCCCATTTCTGGAACAGCCCCCATTTAAGGACTACCAACCGGGCTGGCACGTGGAAACAGCACCGAAATCTGCGCCGCCAAGGCTGGCACGTGCAAAAGCGTCTGAAGCTCAGCGTTGCCGCTGCGGATGATCATCCAATGAGATTAGCCTCTGGCAAATTAACAGTTGGACCCTGAAAATCACCAATTTTTAGAGGAAACTCATCTTCCAACCCCTATCTACCAGGGTCTATGTTAATTTACTGGAGATTAAATTGACACGACTTGTTGCTCCATAAATCGCTGGTAAATATCGTGAAATCCCTGTTCTTCACAGACCCTCATGGTTACATCCCCATTATATATCCCCAGTATTCCAAAGTATATATCCCTATTGTAACCATGAGAAATCACTATCAAAGCCAGTTCGAAGGCACGTGGGAGGAAAGCAGGTGCCTACTCCTTGCAGCAGCAGTTGAAGAGGCCTGGGAGCCTATGAAATGACCATAAATGACCCATGAAATGAAGGATTGAAAGTTTAAGTTGAGACAGCTTTAGAGTTTTTTTGACAAGTGTTTTTTTCAGTTGATTTAAGATGATTTTTCAGTTGATTCATAGATTTCAAGTTGATAATTCAGATCCAGACATGATGAAATCCACACGGCAACCACAACTTCGGTTTTTCAGGGACTTCCACTCCACACTCTGCAATGGGATGGTGTGCTTCAACGCGCACCATGGCCATACACAGGAGGTCGGGCTGCGGCAAGGGCTGCAAACACGACGCAAGGGGTTTTTTGGCAGTCCTGGCCATAAATCGGGCCTGGAGAAGCCAATAAGCCTCCAATAAGCCAACTGAGGATATTCATTTAGATAATTTATATATATACTTCTCTTCTGTATGTTTGGATATGTCAAACAAATCCAATCATGGGATAGTGGATCTCGACAGCCAGGCGGAACGATGGATGAGTTTCCTCGATACAAAACAAGGCAGGGTGTTTCGTTACGGGGAAGACGAACGGCACGCCTGCTTTATCCCGGAGCAATAGTCAAAGTTACCTGCAACAACCATGATTTTAAAAAAGAGCCCCAAAATGATTTGTTGACATAATCATTATATATGATTATCTATCATATTCTATCATTGTAGATAATTTCAACCTAGCTAATTAGTTAATCCATTTGTATCAAATTTCACATGGTCTTGGGATTTTGAGCTCCATTTGATCTCCATTTGATCGTCATCTCAGGTGATGTCCCGCAGGTTGAGACGTCCGGGGACCCTGGGGACCCACTTTGTCTACGAGATTCAGCCATTGAAGTACCACTTTTTATCGGGACATTTTTAAGTACCCTCTGGTTATGTCAAAATAGCAATGGAAAATCACCATTTATAGTGGATTTTCCCATGAAAAATGGTGATTTTCCATAGTTATGTAAACATTTACCAGAGGGTAACGTTGGGATTCAAATTTGCGGCAAGACGTGACTTTAAAAAAATGTTTGCAATTTGGAGATCATTTTCGAAACAGGCCAACATTGACATTCGGAAAGGTCGGAATCTAGAAATCCCACCGGGATTTTTGATGCACCATTGGGATCACGACCCAAAAAAAACCTGGAAAACAGGGGCAATGAAGACCGAAACCACGGAGGTTGAACGCCTTGTTGGCTGCCCTCATCAAGAAAGGCGACCTGGCGAAGGCTCGCGATTCGCGCGACTCGAGATGCATCGAGAGGAGATGCAGCTGGAAAATCACCATTTTAAGGCTCAAAGCATCCAACATCATTGGTCAATTTTCTATAGCTATGTTTTTCATTACCATATCATGATCATATCATGGTCATATTGGTCATATTAGAGTCATAATCAATTGTACGGCGATTACCACTGTAGTCAAAACGGGTAAAAAAAACATGCGCCGAGAATGCTGGGTATCAGCAGTGACTTACCAGACTTGGTTAAGTGAGTGATGTAATACGTTTCAGGTTGGTTGAAATCACCAACCAGAGGTTTTTTTTCCACCCTTATGTTGCATTAAAACATATTAAAAGCCAGCGTTCGAAAAACCACCGCAGCTGTTTGATTCTCAACGTATCCGTTTGTCCGACTTCTCAACGTGCTGTTCCCCCCGTCTATGCACCGCCATGGTGAAGACCGAAACCTCATCATCGGTGGCTTGGCCAAAGTATGGAGATCTGAGTGGGCCTTGATTCTCCTGGATATGTATGTGTGTATATACGTACGTATATAATATATACATATTATATATATATATTCATATTTCAAGAGGTCTGTTTGACTGACTTTCTGCTTTCTTTTCTTGTTGCTTCAAATGGTACCTGCCTGGCAACTACAAAAAGAATAAGATTTTAGCAGCAAGGTCATATATAATGAGATCTACAAGGAACATCGAGGAAAACGCAGCGTTCCACAACGGAATCAGTTTCTCGCTCAGGTGACCATGCCTCCATTCGAGGTGAGGAAAACTGTGGTCGTCAAGATCTGTTTGGAAACATATCCCATGAGTATCCCCAAGTGACTTTGTCAGGTATTTCTTTTGCCATTGTCCGTTTTCCTATTTTTAGGATGATGTTCTCCCAACATTTTCCGTAGTTTTTTCAGTGACTCAACTTCCAGTAGATTCATATCCCAAATCCCATTGTTGCTGATGAAGCTTCATTGTCGCTGGTTGATAATCCTAAGATGTCGGCAACCCTTGAGACTCTGTAGCATGGCCTCAACCTCCGTTTTCTCATCTTTGAAGCCCGTGAGGCAGCCACTTACAGTCGGAAGTCCAGTTTTACAGCCAGGGGCACCCAGCCAAAAAGGAACCCCTGATCCGCCCTCGAAATAGATCTAATGGGAAGCCCAAAGGAATAGTTCCATCACATTTCACTTTTCAGGTTTCGTGACCAGAGCAATGTGGAAAACCCAAAATGAAACAACCATAGCAAAATTTCACCATTTGGGAGGCTCTTATAAATCATACCAAGTGGTGCTTTTATAATTTTGGGTACCATATGATCTCGACAGGACCCAAACTTAACTTGGACTTCCCCACCATATAAATATTTTTTAGTGTATATCATATATCCCTGTGGATGGCTTTATGGCAAGCAGTTCTAAGAATAACAAGATTAGAATTTCCCTATCAACCGTTCCGGAAAATGAAAGCCACTGGCATGTGATTCCCACTATTCCATGCTACAGCTCATATGGATTTGCCTGAAAATTCAGTAATTACCCCTAAATCCCCTTCTTGATTAATCATCATGTTCACCATGAAAAACAGTGGAAAACAAAGTTCATTCTTGGTATCCACTATTTTGGACAAACCAAACTATCATTGATGTTGGTTGTAGATCCCATTTTGTATTATATCCCACTATATCCATATTAACATATTAATATACTAACCAATAATGACCATTTGTTTCTTCGTACATCTACAAAAAAGGCATTCACCAATGGACCGCTGGACCCCAAGGACGTCAGTGACACTCCAGCCCGCCGTAGGTGGGGAAGGGGTGAAGCATCCACAGATCATCATAGTCGGAGTTAATCCCTGTTATTTTGGCGTTCAGGGATTGCCTGTGATATCAGGCCCATAACCGAATGTGGGGTGCCGTTTGGTTCCAGAATGTTGGCACCGTTTTGAGACATTGGAAAAGACTGTCGAAAAATGTGGAAAATCCCAATTTTCACGCAAGGATCTCAAGTGTGGATGGACAATCCGAAATCAGCCATGGCAGCTATTGTTCCAGGCAGTGGCTGCTAAACCCTACCCTAGAACATTGATGATAACCCTCTGGTAAACTAACATAGCTGTGGAAAATCACCATTTTTAGTGGGTAAATCAACTATGTCTATGGGCCAGTTTCAATAGCTATGTAACAAATTACCAGAGAGTATACCATCATATATCCCATTAAATCACCATTAAATCAGCATTAAATCAGCATTACATCACCATCAAATCACCATTACATCACTGTGAAATCAACATAACATCCCGTTTTTCTTACTTAAATCACCATATAAATCCTGATGAGTTCCAGAATGACCATTAAACATTGATGATTAGTTCATATATCCCATTAAATCACCATTCAATCACCATTAAACATGGATTTTTATTGATTTTTCACCATAGTTCCAGAATGGATCGTCAAAAACTACCCTTTCTGGGACGTCCAGACCGTCCGGACCACGATCCACGGGGGATTTGTTCAGAGCCAGGACCTGGAGCACTTCGACACCAAAGTTTCTGGGCAATGAGGCGCCGGATGTGGCGTTTCCATCCCTGGGTTTGATGAGCGACATGTGTATATATATATAGTGTATATATATATACACTATATATATATAGACTATATATATATAGACTATATATATATATATACATACATAGTCTTCAAAGAGGGTTGACATCAACGAGTACTTCATTTTGCGAAAAAAAAACAGAACCGACTTCGCTTGCAAATGGTTCTCATCTTGATGATGACAGCTGAGACTTTGTAACTTTTATGGCCCATGGTCCCTCTGTTGACCCAGCAAGGTCTTGTCCAGTGAAGATCTCAAGACGCAACGTACTGAGAGCGGTTTGACACAGTGCCGGAAAGACAAGAAGGGGGCGCTGATGCTTGGATTAAAGCCGATGCATCTTTGGGCAGCTGCAGTGGAACTTTCCATGGCTTTCCCTGGAAGTGTGGCTTCAGGTTCGCATGGTTGGTTTCTACGATTGTATGGTTTACCATAGGATTACCATTCAAAAAGCCAGATTTTCAATAGGATTACCATAGGTTTACCATAGGATTACCATAGGAGCCATAGGTTTACCATAGGTTTACCATAGGTTTACCATAGGATTACCATAGGTTTACCATAGGATTACCATAGGTTTACCATAGGATTACCATAGGATTACCATAGGTTTACCATAGGATTACCATAGGATTACCATAGGATTACCATAGGTTTACCATAGGATTACCATAGGATTACCATAGGTTTACCATAGGATTACCATAGGATTACCATAGGATTACCATAGGATTACCATAGGTTTACCATAGGTTTACCATAGGATTACCATAGGTTTACCATAGGATTACCATAGGTTTACCATAGGATTACCATAGGATTACCATAGGTTTACCATAGGTTTACCATAGGATTACCATAGGTTTACCATAGGATTACCATAGGTTTACCATAGGATTACTATAGGATTACCATAGGTTTACCATAGGATTACCATAGGTTTACCATAGGATTACCATAGGATTACCATAGGATTACCATAGGATTACCATAGGATTACCATAGGTTTACCATAGGATTACCATAGGTTTACCATAGGATTACCATAGGTTTACCATAGGATTACCATAGGTTTACCATAGGATTACCATAGGTTTACCATAGGATTACTATAGGATTACCATAGGTTTACCATAGGATTACCATAGGTTTACCATAGGATTACCATAGGTTTACCATAGGATTACCATAGGATTACCATAGGATTACCATAGGATTACCATAGGATTACCATAGGTTTACCATAGGATTACTATAGGATTACCATAGGTTTACCATAGGATTACCATAGGTTTACCATAGGTTTACCATAGGATTACCATAGGTTTACCATAGGAGTTCTGAGATTCCCAAGATCTTCAATTTTCATCCATCCACAGACCGAGGACGGGTGTCTTCATTCCCACCTGTGAGCCTTCGGCAGCGATTCATCAGCTGTTTGGTGGTTAGCCAATGGTTAACCAATGGTTAACCAATGGTTAACCAACAGCAAACATGGTGGTTTACCCATGGTTTTGGTACAGGATTTTCAAAGAACACCATATAAACGGAGTTGTTTTTGGTCTTGTTTCGGTGGCTGAGATAGGTAAACGCTACTAACATCCCACCAGTCTAGCCCTTGAAATCATGGTCAAAATTCTGAGGAGAACATGTGGGGCGTGCTGATCTTTCTGCGATTTTACTACATTGCACCTCGGCAGTGGGCCTTGGAGCCTTGGGGCAGAAGATGGCAGAAGGCCTTGGACCCAACGATCCAACGTGCCACGTGCCACGTGACGTCGCCCAGGTGGGAGAGGCGGGCATTTGGCAAACGCTGTGTGCGGTTCTGCTGTCCTTCGCTGCTGCCTTTTGTACCACTTGTGTCCCTTGGATGTGAACACAGGGAACCCGCAGGGCGTGTTAGATCAAAGGGACCGTAGCCAAATCACCCAAGTAATTCACGTTGCTTTGCTTGTTTGTTGGTCTTGTCATGGTAGTTTTGTCGATTCAATTCACACTTTTCGATACTTTTCTTGCTTTTATCCTCAAGTGTTTTGCTTCATATCAATGAGGTGTGATTTTTCATCCTTGTGTTTTGCTAATTCAATCCATCTTACGGACCATCTTTTTGCTGCTTTTTTATAGCCACTTTTGTTGATTAAGACAATGTTAACCATTATATTTTGCTTGCTCAACATAATATTAATACTAATATATTTCATGAAATTAGCATATTAGATCCCCACCATATTACATCATATTACTATATATTTTGTCATTATAATGGATATATATATATGCCATATATTTTGCTTGACCTCCCGACTCCCAGGCCATGTCATCCATTGCGTCCTCGGGGGGCTTGGTCAGTTCTGGTGGGCCCTACTACATGATCTCAAGAGCACTAGGAGAGCGGCTGGGAGATAGCGGATCATCGCCGATCATCTTGGAGTTGAGGAACATGTGGAGTTGGATACTCCATTCATGAATACAATTGAAGTATCGCAAATCACGAGCCAGTTTATGTATACTATTGTAATCTATCATAGATATATAATGATATATAACTATATCAAAACTTATACGGGGTAGCCATGGGTAGCCTGAATGAATCCCCGGGTGCAAACTGGTATCAATATTATGATCTTTTGATAGATTCTATGAGAAAACTAATCTTGGCCAGCTCTTCATGCCTGAGTGTTCAGGCACAAGGGGGAGGCAGATGAAGCAATTTCATCAAACAGGGCCACATCGAAAGTCGATGAATTTCTTTCTTTGTGGATCTGAAGATTGAACGTGTATATAACATCCCAGATATGTCACGATGAATCAGTGAATGACCTCAATAATCTGGCTTCGCACCAGACATTTCCTGTAGCAAACGGATGCAACAACCAGTCATTCCAGTCACATTTTTGGCGTTGCGCAGGACCCGTGGTCGGTGCAACCATTGGGATAATGTATTGGTTGGCCATCACCATGTTGTCAGTCCCTCTGCTTCGTCAAAAACGGCGCGAAAACGGCGGAAACCACCATCCCCAGAGGTTTCTCATAGCGTTTCTCATTCGTGAAGCACAGCTTTTTGGCGTTTTTAGGCCTATCTTCATGGGATTTGGCGTTTGTAAAATGACTTCCTTAAATGGTTGGGCCGAAAGCCGCAAGCAATGGGTAGCTCCAAATCCAGTGGTTTGATCCCATCATCCTGAGATTGTTTGATTCAATGGATTGGTTTAAGGGAAAAATGTAACCGGAAAGCCCCATGATCTTAATGGGAAAATCGATGGTTTCCGGTTTCGATTTTCCCAACAAAACCAATCCATTGATTGATGGGACGGAATATATTGATGGAATGATAGATATCATCCCTGTGATCATCCCAATTTCTGATGAGATGTCAGGCCAAATGATCTAGTTCTCCATATCCCACCCTGTTCCTGTCTACCCCATGTTCAAATTCCATACGCGCGGGGTAGAACACATGAAAGTGGCATATATTGATTCCTTATATATCCTTACATATATATATATATATACATAATTATACATACAATATATTGATGTTTTATACACTTAAATTCTCAGAATTACCTTCTTACCATCCCGTATTCTAGCCATAAATTTACCGAATTCTACCTATTCGACTACCATTTCCCAGACGACCTAAAAACGGGCTGGAATCCACAACTCGACACGCTTCGGCCTGAGGTCTTAGAATGCCTCGGAGCCGTTGAGGTGTTGGTTGGATTCTAACCAACCAACATGGGGGAAGTTAGATACAACCAAACCTGGTTGGTGGTTGTGATGGTTTAACATGGTTTATAGATGTTTATAGCTGGTTGGTGGTTTCAAAAATGTTTTTTTTCCATTTCATATATGGGATGTCATCCGAAACCCATTGACGAACTCCATGATTTTACAAGATGGTTATTGCACCACCAACCAAACATATGGGGTATGGGCTTGTCTGAAATTTGGATATACCGCCAGTTGCCGTTTCAAGAGGGCCAATGAGGATGAAGCACAGATTTGTTGGGGCACCTTTGGGGCACCCTATTCCAGATGAACCCAAGTGATAAAGATGGTGGGTTTTTTTCGCATATTTCAAGCCAAAAAGCATCAAAAAGCGAAAACAAAACCCTGGCTTTCCACGCTGAGACACCCTGACTTCCCGACTTCCCAAGTCAGCCATGTTGACTTTCCGGGTATCCAAGGTTCGCCACGAAACATGTTGATCCCAACAGGCCCTGGCGATGGCGGCACCTTCCATGCGATTTCCAGGTGCGAATTGACAGATGTGAGGGTTCGGCATGGTGATCCATGCCTTTACTGCAATTATTTGGGGATGGATCCATACCTACTATCCTATATTTGGGGGGAATGAACCTTCATTTACCACCTATTTTGATGTTAGGGGATTTTGATGTTCGCTGACCATGGGTGACCATGGCATCAATGTTCGCATCAGCCCCGCCGCCGCCATAGCCATTTCTTCGTTGTGAACTCCAACTTTTTTTGGATCAGACTTTGATCAAGGTCCCCGTTCTTTTTGGTTGCAGCGACCCAGTTTTTGTTTTTGTATCCAATGACTGTATATGTATCTATCTGTTTGTTTGTCTGTCTATCTCTATCTATACCCAGATATCTACACACACACACTTCACACATGTAAGCTGGTTGGTGGTTTGGAACATTTGATGTTTTTTCCATTTCACAAAAATGGGAATGTCATCATCCCAACTGACTTTTATATTTTCAGAACAGGCCACTGTGGGAGTGCGCAAATTGCAGCATTTCCTGTGCAAAGATCCAACAGCATATGGCGCAACCGGACAAAATTGAATTCCATTCCTCTCTGCTGTTCATTGGCTGAATGCACTATGTCATAGCAAACATTGCTGTACTGTAGTGTATCGACCTTGCTTCTAGTGCAACCACTGACAGTGCCTGGCAATCTCTGCTTGGCACATCTGCAATGGCTATCCACACACAAACCAAAAAAACAGAAAACCAAAAAAACAAAAAACCAAAAAAACAAAAAAAACAAAAAAAACAAAAAGACAAGACCCAACACTCTGCATCTGACCCCTTCCCCTTGTGGTGTGCAATCTTGGTTTTTTTGGTTTTTTTGGTTTTTTGGTTTTTTGGTTTTTTGGTTTCTTGGTTTTTTGGTTTTTTGGTTTTTTGGTTTTTGCCTGCCCGACCTCTAGTGCAACCACTGACAGTGCCTGGCAATTTCTGCTTGGCACATCTGCAATGGCTATCCACACACAAACCAAAAAACCAAAAAACCAAAAAACCAAAAAACCAAAAAAACAAAAAACCAAAAAACCAAAAAACCAAAAAACCAAAAAAACCAAAAAAACCAAAAAGACAAGACCCAACACTCTGCATCTGACCCCCTCCCCTTGGGGTGTGCAATCTTGTTTTTTTTTTTTTTTGTTTTTTGGTTTTTTGGTTTCTTGGTTTTTTGGTTTTTTGTTTTTTTGGTTTTTTGGTTTGTGTGTGGATAGCCCAGACCTTGCCCATGGGTCTGAACTTTTTTTTTTGTGTTCTCGAGGTTTTTGGCCAAACTGCAAAAAACCATGGAAAAACCAAGAAAACAAAAAGTTCAGACCCATGTCCCCTGCCAGGCCTCTCCCAGACCTTGCCCATGGGTCTGAACTTTTTTTTGTTTTTTCCATTGTTGTTTTGAATGTTTTTCATGTGAAGATGCTTTCATCACAGTACCTCTCAAAAAAATGCGCGTCTCTACAATTTGCACACCTGCGCCCCCCAGGCCAAACTGCAAAAAAAACCATGGAAAAACCAAAATTCATTAATGACTTATATAATGACTAATATAATGATTAATGTAATGACTTATTTTTTCAAGAATATAATGACTAATATAATGATTAATATAATGATTAATATAATGATTAATAAAATGATAAATAAAATGATCAATATCATGATGAATATAATGATTTATATAATGATTAATTTAATGATTATTAAAAGGAAGAATTTAATGGTTAATATCATGATTATTATCATGATTCATATAATGATTAATGTAATGGTTCATATAATGCCTAATGCAATGACTAATATAATTCATATAATGATTAACATAATGATTCATATAATGATAAATATAGTGATTCCTTTCATGATTTATTTAATGACTTTTATAATGACTAAGATAATGATAAATATAATGATTTTTGTAATGGCTGATATACTTGTTAATTTATTGACTAATTTAATGATTAATATCATGATTCATATAATGATTAATAAAATGATTAATATAATGATTCATTTAATGATAAATATAATTATTCTTTTCATGATTCATTTAATGACTTTTATAATGACTAGTATCATGATTATATTTTAAGAATGATTAATATAATGATTACTATTATGATGAATACAATGATTATAATATCATGAGTAAAATACTGGCTAGTTTAATGAGTTTATATATAATGAGTAATGTAATGAGTAATGTAATGATTAATAAAATGATTAATATAATGATTAATATAATGATTAATTTAATGACTAATATAATGATAAATACAATGGCTAATATAATGAATGTTAAAATGATTAGTATAATGATTGATATAATGATTAATATACTGATTAATATAATGATTAAAATAGTAATTCATATAATGACTAAAATAATGATTAATAAAATGATAAATAAAATGATCAATATCATGATGAATATAATGATTTATATAATGATTAATTTAATGATTATTAAAATGAAGAATTTAATGATTAATATCATGATTATTATCATGATTCATATAATGATTAATGTAATGGTTCATATAATGCCTAATGCAATGACTAATATAATTCATATAATGATTAATATAATGATTCATAGAATGATAAATATAGTGATTCCTTTCATGATTTATTTAATGACTTTTATAATGACTAAGATAATGATTAATATAATGATGTTTGTAATGGCTGATATACTTGTTAATTTATTGACTAATATAATGATTAATTTAATGATATATATATATATAATGACTAATATAATGATTAATAAAATGATTAAATTAATGAATTATTTAATGACTGATATAATGATGATTCATTTTATGATTCATTTGATGATTAATATAATGATTCATAGAATGATTCATATAATGATTCATATAATGATTCATATAATGATTCATATAATGATTTATTTAATGACTTATATAATGACTAATATAATGACTAATATAATGATTAATGTAATGACTGCATGGAAAAAAGTGCACTCCCACAGCGGCCAGCTCTCTATATTTTTCAGAGGGGTGGCTCAACTTCTCAACCACCAACCAGTCACCACCAGTGGCTCCAGGCTTTCGGCAGGCCCTAGGCTCTGCCAGCATGGCTTTGTTGGCGCTGGCCGTCTGGGGAGGTGCCAAGGTTTTTTTGGGGACATATCTATATATCTATGATTATCTATGTAAATATGACAATATATGATAAATAATAATAACATATATTTATACACAATTTCTTTATTATATATAATATAAACGTATATGACAGATATAAGACATGATATATGATATATGATATATGATATGTGTACGTGTGAATACATGGCGTATATCTAGTTGGTGTTGCCATTCATGTATTTTTTGTACAATCCTAAGAATGCGATGATAGTTCCGAAGCTCTTGCTAAATGTGGAGAGGCATGAATATCGTGACGAAATTGGGTCTTCTTTTCGCACTGGTCGTGCCTTGGCTGAAGGTGATTTGGGCTCCCCATTCAGCAAGTGATTCATCATCTCATATAGTGAATAGCCTAGTCACTAGTCATGATTTGCTTTCCTGTGTGGGAAAACCACCATCTTAGAACTCAAAACAGGATACGTTGCTCATGTTCAGCCCATTTTTTGGCGGTTCAGTCAAGTTATGCTTGTCGGTGAACACTCTGTCTTTGTTATTCAAATTCTAATCCTGGTCGCTTAAAGTTAGCCATGTTGGGCAACTTCCTGTGAACACTGTGAATTTGTCTATGTTTTTCGATGCAAAATCTTCAATTTCACATATCTGCGGATGCAAAACAAGTGGATCACTACCAGGTCGATGCCAAAAAAATACCGATGCAACACGCCCCCAGGTGGTCTTCACACTTTTCAGCTTCTACTTGGGCCTCTTCATGACGGGACCAGGCGGGCACCCTGTGGGGCACCTGTGGATCCTGAGCGCAAGGTACTCGAAGACATGGCGATTTCCAGGGAACAGCCAGAGCCACTATTTTCACCATTTTTTGGTGGTTCCATTCCTGATTTCAAACACTACCCTCTGGTAATTTGTTACATAGCTATTGAAAATGGCCATCGACATAGTGGATTTTCCCATTAATAGCATGGTGATTTTCCATAGTTATGTAAACGTTTACCAGAGGGTAAATCCTATTAAATCCCATTAGATCCCATTAAACCACCATAAATCACCATTTTTAATGGGAAAATCCATTCCTGGATCCATTCCATCCATATCCGGATTTCTGGGACGACCATAAAAAATGCTCGCCTGACCTCGGAGCGAGCCAGTGGTCGGTGAACAGCAGAAGCGAGACTGCCATTGAAACCATTGAAGCGAGTGCCAAACTTTGAACTAGTACTTTGTATATATATATATTGTAATAGTAATATATTGTAATATATAATATCATACTATTAACATATATATATATATATACACATGTATATTATAATCTGATATATGGAAAATGTCTTGGTAACGAAGACGCCGCATGGCGCTGCTTTGTTTTCATCATCCCATCGAGACACCGATCAGTTCTCGACGCCGCAGGGACGGTGTCTCCGGATGTCCCTGGCAGCGAATACATCACTGGGCTCAGCTGGGAGATTTGGCAAAAATTCTGGGTGGTGAATGGATTCGCATCATTTGGGAACAAAAGATTCAGCAGTTCAAAATTACATATATGTAAGTATATATATATAGATATAACTATATATATATTTATTATGCATAAATAAAATATACATAGGTAAATACAGATGCGGTAGGCCCCTGTTTGGACATTTCAAGTCCCATCCTCGTTCCACGAAACGGGACATCTCCAGATATCGAAAAGGCCAGACTTTTTCATCACGGCCCAATGATGTAAACCACAGCTTGAGGCTATGGTTTTCTTCTACCCAACTGACATGAAAACTAGGTGACACACTGGTTGTCGATGAAATTTGGGCTTACCATGCCACATGTTCTTACTGGTGCTTAGCAGGGAATGAGGGAATGATCATAATCACTACTCATAATCATCCCATTCCCCCATTCCCATCCATTCCCTACTAAGCACCAGTAAGTTCAACATCTCTTTTGGGTAGATAGGTAGTGACTTGAGTCGCCGCAGATGGCCAGGAGATCTGGAATTTTCTGGTTAAAACCCGGCATGTTGTTGGGGAACCCTGAGTTTTTACTGGCCCCGGCAACCCCCAACAATTTGTTATTGGTTGAAACGCCATGAAAACAAAACGTCATCATAGATGTCCCTTAAATTCCCATTGCTTGGTTGATAAACCTAGAGGGGTTTCTTCAGGTTTACCCCTTTAACAACAGGTTTCTATGATGATAGATGGTATACCGTTGGACATTGATGGGTCCAGTTGGTTCATGGAGCTCTCAGGAGACCTTTCAAAGCAATTGGAGCCCTCACTACGACTCAAACGTTGGCTTTGGGACCGTCTTGAGTCTCTTCTATCCATGCTTTACAGGCACAAAAATGCTGGGAGTTTCACCTCGAAAACTGGGGATTTTTTTTTGGGTGAACCAATAGGACTGGCAAAAAAAATGGGGATTTATACCATGTAAATGGGGATATGAATAGGTACACAACCAACAAAACTGGTCGACTCCAGCAAAGTTGTGGGAATTTTATGGGAATTTTATGGGATCATGATGGGATCATAATGGGATATAGGGGGATAGAACAGGATTTGGTGGGACATGCATATATGTATTGATTTACTATTGTTTGGTGATCTGACTGGTTCATTTCCAGAGGTCGCAATTGGATGGTTAATTTTTCATAGGGGAAATCATCCCCAAATGGCTTTGTTTCAGGTTAGTGAATGAATATCAAGAATACCCTTTGGTAAACAAACATAGCTACTGAAAATTTCCATTAACAGTTGATTTACCCATTAAAAAATGTTGATTTTTCCATAGTTATGTAACAGTTTACCAGAGGGTATATAATATATCATACTACATCCAGATTTTTGGAGGACGGAACCCACATGGCGCACCGTGGCCTTGCGCCCCCTTTCGAATTTCAGGCATCTTGAGTGGCGCGAACCGGGCTGATGTTCTCAAGGACGGGTGGATACCAGCAGCGGATTGCTTGGCTTAGAAGCACCAAGCGACCACAGCAGGACCCGCCGCGAAATATTCGTATTGGCACCTTCGGGGCTATTGTGTTGCTTGAGATTTTTCCGCTGATGGCTCTGGAAATGGGGATCCCCAACTTATCAATTTGTGGCACTTTGGAATTTGGGAATATGTGGGAGGGATATCATTTTTCGGTGGTTATGGTTCACCCTCAGTAGAAGGGATCCTGTCCCAGTTCAAACAGTTCCGGAAGTCGGAACGGCACCAGGTGATGTGGCAAGATATCATGAAGTGGGTACCCTCTGGTAACATAGCTCTGGAAAATCATGGAATTAACATCACCATTTTAAATCTAGGTAAATCATCTGTTCAAATGTGCCGTTTTCATCCGTTTTCCATAGCTATGTGAATAATACCAGAGGCTATGGGTGAAGGTCTACAACATTTCGGATCAACTCACCAAACATGAAAAACACCCGGAGAAACTCACATGGATTTGGGGCACATTGCGGCATGGCCGGGTTACCCATGGCTACCCCATTTTCGGGACCAGTGGTGGGGTTGTTTGGGGATGGTCATTCCATGGCGATGCCAATTGGCCAAGGTTTCGTTTCTTCCTCTATACTTCTTTCTTCCTGCTCTGGGGCAGCTTGGCGCTTTTTGAGGCCAGCCATTTCACTTTTTTGGCCCGGTCAGTTGTTGGGACGCCTTTTTTGGAGATTTTTTTACGTGGCCAAACTTGTTGGGGAAGCATAACCATGCACCAATGTTTTGCCTGTCAAAGACGGAGGGTTCCATCATCAATTCAATCTGCATGGCAGAAGCCTGGACCAAGCAGGATCAAGCTCTTAAGCTCGCAGGTGAACCAAATCAGTGGATATCAATCCCAACAATTGATGGCCTGGTTTGCCCTGAGAGATGCTGATCAGCTCATGAATTTGTAGCATTTTGTAGCTGGTTACTATGGACTGAACCGTTCCAACCCACATATCAATAGGACAAATATCGACTTATCATCAACCATGATCGACCAATTGAGGACCACTTACAATCTGTGGGATAATCCTCCACATGTTTCTTTTCACATTTTTCACAGTAAGCCTACCCCAAATCCCAAACGGTTGAAGCCGAGGAAGCGTTGCCACCGACACTTACCTCAAGGGTAACTTTTTGGATGATCATCATGCCAGAAGGCTGTCCTCCGGCGGCGACATCTCGGAGGAAGCTGGCCGCAGCTTGGATTGGAAAAAATGGATTGGACACGTGCCCAGGGGGGAGGTTTTCAGGAAGGTTTTCTGTGTTTAGTAAACGTGCCCTTCAATAAAGATTGGCTTTGACCGGTCCAAAACATTCTGAAGCCTGGTTTTGACACTTTGGCAAATCCAATTATGCGAAAAGAACCCCTGAAATTTGCAGGTGTTAAACCCCAGCATCACCAAATATAAACATGAGCGGTTTTGTCGCCTCCAAATGATCCAACTTTAAGTTATACCTGTTATACCTCTTGTAAGCCGGATGGTTTTTTTCTCATCCGATCAGCCCAACCTATCCCAAACTTCTGTTGTTTTTCATCTTAACTTTCTCATAAAAAAAACATGTTAACCATCTCATTTTTTAAAACCTTTCAGTAGGATTCTTCGACCAGGTCCTGGTTCACGGACTTGTCCATAGGGAGGAGAACCCCGAAGTGATCTGCTTTTGTTTGGAGCAAGACCCATTGGGTTTCCCAGCAAAATCGGGCAATTCCTGACCATTTTCCGGGTCACATTAAACCATTGGGAGATGATTTTTCACTCACAGTTTCCAGATGCAGATCGCAGCAGTGAGTTTGCAGTGCCGGCTGAGGTCTTATCGTTCAGACCGCCAGGGCCTCGTTGGGAGCTTTCACCAGGTTTCACCATGGAGATATTGCCGAGTCAGATTTTCTTGCAGCAAACATGTAGGTGAAAAGCCCCTTTTTCTTGTATTAGGAGCTTCCAAAATTCACATTGAGATATTTTTCGATGTCATGTGAAAAAATGGGTTGACCCAACCTGGACTGGTCATAACAAGTGAATTCTGGCCCATGTTTTTGGTGCTCAAGGACTTGATGAAAACTTGATAGGAAGCCCAGGAAGCCCATCCAGAAATAGATGTGCCATGGTGAACAGTTGGATTATCATTAACATTCACTTCAGGGTGGTCAAAGCACCATTCATAGGGGAATTCTCCTGGCGAAGGTAAAATCTAGGGGAATTCCAATGTCATGATGACCCTAACATCCCATATAACAGTATATAACCATTGCATAACACATTATGAATCATAACCATATATAACCATCCATAACCCATTGTGGTTGTAACGGGGTTGTATTACAAGAAACATCCATTATATTACCTGTGATAAGAATACCGTACCACAATGGCGTCATATCAACACGGCTAACCCCATAGCGATCCGACTACCGAGGTGGTTTGGAACCCCTTTCCCAACTCAGCCTTCGTGGGTGACTTGAACAGTGGGGTGGAGGTTCTGCGTGTATGACTGGTGAATGGTAGGTTAAGGCTGATCTGAATTTTGAATCGAGCACCAGTTCGGTGAGTAAAAAGCAAATCTTTACAGCTAAATACTACTGGTCAATTTGGCTGGTTATACTTGCAGGAATATCTTATATGAATTTATATGACTCATGTCCTGCTTTTTTTCTGGACTTCGGTCAGCCATGCATTGGGGTGTTTAATATTTTGTTAAGAGTACCAGCCGATGGTGGGTCCAGTCTCGAGCAAATGTTGCAGGGCTAGGTGTTTCGGCAGCGCAGTTGCAAAAACAGTAGTGCTCACTTGGTCCGTAGATCCCCAGATATTGCCTTTGTGAAGCCGGTCAAGTCACAAGCTGAGTCCCAAACAGCAGGTCCTTGCTGAAAAGAAACCTCAAAAATCTCGTGGGGCGTAATGCCATCACGCCTGGTCTTTTTTGCTGCTTTCGCATTCTTTGGCCGGGACATGCGCAGCATGTGTTTGCTCCCGCCACTGTGCTTGGTAAGTCATCATTTGCACTTTCTTTCAGAGTTTGTGCCACGCTCGGTGCTCACTGAGCTAGCGTCGGCATGTTGAGAAACCTTCGAGTTCTCCCCAATTCTCTTGGTAAACTCTGCTTGGACAGTTGAACGCGTGAGTTTTCAGCCACAAATGGGGAATGCATGCAATGCCGACTAGCATTTAATTTGGTGCAGGCTGCAGGGTATCTAAGGTGCGCCGTTTTCGCGGGATACTTGACAGTAGCTGCAAAAGGGCCACCAATCTTCCGTGCTGCCGGCCCTACCCCCTACGCACAGAGCACAACCGGTAGCTGTGAATCGGCCATTCTGGTAGGATTTCAATCCCACAGTTGGTTTGAGGAAACTTGACGAGAAACCCTTTTCTCTTTGGGCGGTTCTCGAAATTAGGGTGCCCAAAGACAAGTTTCGGATGATTTTGGGGTCCAGCATTTGAATAAACGCACCCCTTAGTGGCAAAGCTACCTAGTTTCCGGCAACACAATCTTCACACATCAATCATCATCAATCCCATTTCTCAATTCTACCCAAGACTGTCACGACTTTCACGACTTTCAGGACGTTTTTTGAGACCTGGGAAGTCCTACAGGAAGTCGGAACTCCTGGGTCCGGACGGGGACGCTGTGGGCTCAGGCATCATCATCGCATCTCTGAGCCAATCCTTGCAATGTTTGATCGTCGCACCTCGCCTGCTCCAGAACATGGCCAAGGACCGACCGGCAGGGAGCGCAGGGAGGCAGATTCGAGGGGTCATCCATGACGGGATCCCATTGGGGAAAAAGAAACCATGGAGATTTTATGGATTTAGAAACTGGTACTATACTAATGTTTTCTATAAATCTATATAATGTTACTATAAGTAACATATAAAACTGGTACTATATGTTACTGTACTAATGTGGGACACGGGATTTTTTCTGGGATGAAACTGGATGCCATCCAGTTGGGAGCCAACCATGGGGATTGCTTGAGCCCCAACGATGAGTTGGGCTTCTTCAACCCAGCAGTTTTGGGGCATATCATGGGATGTGTGGGATGTGTGGGATATCCGGGATATATAACCAGGAAGAATGTATCTGTTTGTCAAAAAATGGAGAGATGAAACACAAGTTTAATGTCATTTTGATAGGAACATGTTTATGTGATTTATGTGATTTATAGATTTGGGATATCATACTTTCAGACAAACCCAACTCCTTTAAAGTGCATAAGTGGTGTTGACCCTTCAATATCTTAAGGACCCTCAATGTTTCCAGCAGAATCTTCTGACCCCATCTCCAGGCAATTTCTTCCTTTCCACAATAGGATATCATAGGCCTTAGGTTCCACCCATTTATGGAGGTTTCCTAGGTCATGGGGGTACCCCAAGTCATCAGCGGACCGGTTGGACCATGGGTTTCAATAGATATCGTCGAATTTTGGGTACACCAGGTACAGCCCATTTTATCAATGGCCATTTCAGGATCCTGAATTGGAGGTACCTACCTATGTAAGGCCTAAATTTCAGGGATCCTGGAATTCCCACTGACTTTAGGAAACCCCCATGGCCCGGAGGACCGCTTGATGCCTGCCCTGCGGCCTCTAGAGAAGCTGTCCAGCAGTGGGGAACCGGTCCATGCCTTGCTCTTCACCTATCTCGCCGCGGTGCCGTGGAGCACATTTTTTTTGCTGGTAAAACATGGTAAAGCTACAGAAAAAATGGCTTATTGACAGTGAGTTTTTCCTAGGGCAAATGGTAATTTTCCATACTTATTAGCGAGTTTACCAGAGAGTATATTGAGAAATTCAGCCCATTATATCTCAGCATATCACCATTTTCCATCCCATGAAATCACCATTTTCCGTGGCGCCAAGACGTTCGCTGCTGCCCGAGGCACTGCTTGTGCTCATTGGGGAGTTAGAGCTAGTGGCACCGTTACTTTCCATGCGCCTTGACATTGGGCCGGTGGGATGTACAGCAAATGTGATATGTGTATGTGTATATGTATGTGTATTATGTATGTGTATGTAATATGTGATATGTGATATGTAATATGTAATATGTAATATGTATATGTAATATATGTATATATGTATATTAGTATATTATTAGTATATTAGTATATTAGTATATTAGTATATGTATATGTATATATATATATGTATGCATATGCAATATATATGTATATATATATACACACGATAGATCATTGTATCTATGCGTGTACATGCATGATTCGTTGGTGATTGCAAACATCTTCGGTTTCCATTCTTCAATTGGAATTTCCCAATTAAAACCATTCGCCAGATACAACTGGTGGAGCAGACTTCCCAGCACTGGTTTTTGCATATCATATATATATATATAATATATTATGTATGTGTATGTAATATGTGATATGTAATATGTAATATGTAATATGTAATATGTGATATGTAATATGTAATATGTATATGTATGTATGTATATATATGTATATGCATATGCAATATATGTATATACATACACATATGATAGATCATTGTATCTATGCGTGTACATGCATGATTCGTTGGTGATTGCAAACATCTTCGGTTTCCATTCTTCAATTGGAATTTCCCAATTAAAACCATTCGCCAGATACAACTGGTGGAGCAGACTTCCCAGCACTGGTTTTTGCATTCAGTTTGCCGAAATGTGAAAACCCACAAAACTGGACATTTGAATTGCAGCTCTGCAGCACTGCCGTTTTTGCATGTGATCTGCGCGCGGCCGCCGTTTCCATTTCAGCTGGATTGCCAACTACAATTTTAAATACAAAACTATGAATTTATATACGTCAAGACTTGTTCAACGGGAGAATTAACTTCAGTCCTTGTCCTGGGACATGAGGACAGGACATGGGCATGTAGTTTGAGGAGCTAAGGCAGTGACGAAACAACCTATCCAAAAGATGCAGTGATCTTCCGATCATGGATTGTTAAGCCGGTTGCTCACGGCCTAGGTACAACATGACTTTCAAAAGCGTAGACATCTGATGAATTCTGCAAGGCTATAGCCTATATCGTGAGCCGGCAAAGGCCACGAGCATTCAAGAACAGATCTTATAGATGTTGTTTGAACTTTCTATTCACTTACATGAAAACTTTACCTTTTTGTATCTCTAAATTTTTTGGTGTCAGCCAAATCAATCCAAGGCCCTAATTGGGGCACCCAAATTTTCGTCTTTTTTTTCGGGGCTTCGTCCATGCACCTGGACGAGCCTACGGTGCTGTTGCCACCCTGGTTCGACCGGCCGATGAATGGCTTGGTGCAGACGCACGCAGCCCATGGGCGGCGGCCATCGAAACGAGAAGGTGGCGTGAGGCACGGCTGGAGAAAATAGTTGTCCAACCCAAAGGAGAAGTTTAAATCCACTGTTATCCCAGAAATTCTGGCGTTTTGCTGGCACTCTAGAACCAAGCCCTCTATTTTTGGTGGCAGCAGTTTGGGCAGTTTAGCTGTTGGCTCAAGATTCTTCACCCCCAAAAAGATATTCGCTTTGTCCAAATGAACAGGTTCAATTTGAAGAGGTTCTGTCCCTGGATCAAGACTGAAACAAAACAGCAGCTGGATCATAGCCTTCAGGGGTTTTTCAAATGTTTTTAAGCTGTTTCAGCATTCCATTTTGGGGTATATACCAACCAAATTTCACTTTGACCTCAGTGTTTCAACATTTTTCAACCTCGCAACGTGGATCCTTGATGTTTTTCTGTAGACCACTGATGTGCCATGACTATCAAGGCGCTGTGTGGAATCAGCACGAAAGTTAGCAGTGATCTCATAAAATCACTAAATAACCAATTCTGTGGGTATGGTATGGTATGGTATGGTATGGTATGGTATGGTATGTTTATATTTATGCATAATGGTATGGTATGTTTATATTTATGTATAACATGTGAATATATACATATATATATATATATTATATTTGGTCATTAAGAATCATTATGATGATACCTCCAGTAGTCCCATAATACTGTACATACATGTATACATAATATGTACATATAGCTACATACATATATAAATAGCACGTTATCCCCATTTGACTTGGGATGACAATAGCTTCCCTCGCAGGGAATGCATTGAGGGTCGCTACATGCATGCATCCACCACTGGCCGGGCAGCTCTGGGTCAGCGGACCGTCAAAGGCCATTTGTGATGGGTTTATGGGTAAACTTTCATGTGTTGACCAGCAGCAAAAAATAAAATAATGGCAAATATTTGCAAATATAATACAAACTAATCCAGACCAATCTACCTTATTTTTAATATTTTTTGTTGCATGTGTATCAGTTCTTGGTGATTGTTTGCTTAAATTTTCTGGCATCACAGCAAGCACGGTGGTAATAACCATGAGATCTGTATATATATATATAACCACCCAGCAGCCTGATCTTGGTGTTTAAGGTCACCGTAAGGTCTTGGTTTTCTTTAGAGAATTCGGATTCATCAAAGCAGGATGATGTATTGATCCCTGGACAAAAACCTGCAATTGCGCAACTTCAGAGAGAACTTCACACGGAAAAAAAATCAGAAACTTGTTGGTGGTTTGGAACATTTTTTATTTTTCCATAGATTGGGAATAATCATCCCAAGTGACTAATATTCTTCAAGAGGGGTGGCTCAACCACCAAACAGATGATTTGCCTTCTTCCCACCGAGAAGATGATCCCCTTTGCAGGACACGACTCCGCAAAGGACTTGCTCGGTTATGGCGCTGAAGTTGCACCCAAAGGCACCATCGATCCAGAAGCTGATGTATTTTTTACAGGGAAGATCCCCCAAGATTTAAGATGTTGGTAAATCAATGATCAACCTTGATGTTAGAATCATGTGAACACTGATTTTTTCATCAACAAATGGGTGAAGTTGGGGTGAATGATGGTTTTATTTTCATGATCCCCCATTTTGGGATGCCATTTTGAGGAGCCTGGCGCTCTGCTTTTTCGTCCCAGGTCGTGAGCAGCACCCGCACCCACCACGGGCACCGCACGCGCCGCACGCGCCGCACGGGCCAAACCACGCGCCCGTGCACGCGGCGGCGCATGTCGCGGTACATCCCAATGAGCAGCCGCCATGGATGCAGCCGCCCAAAAGAAATCGCCACTGGGATGCAGCCGCACTGCGAATGGTAGCGGTGGTGCTCCAGTTAGCGAATGGGATGATTGGGATGATTGGGATATGTAACTAATAATATCAACGATATGAATTTTTACCAGATGGTGCCCGGGTTCATGAGCTAAGTTGGTTTATTTCACTAATATGTCAGTAGGGTTAATGGCAATACATATCTATAGTATTCTATAGTTAACAGGGGTTTATAAACCAACAACATAATCTGAACATGGATAATCAGGACTTGGTTTTCCATGTACGATTACCGCAGGGTAGGTCTATTATATTATGATTATTGTTATGACTATTGCTATCATTGTCATCTGACGGTTATCATTATGACATCTTTTATGACATACATATGTACACAAATTCTACGCGAAGAACAAATCCTTACACAGATACCACACACGACTTTATACGATTCTATGATACGACTTTATGATACATAGTAATCCATTGTTAAACAGCTACAACAAATTACAGCTACATATGGATTATGGATTACTAAATGATGTATGTGGATAAAACAATAATGAACCATCCCCCAAATCACCATTTTTGTAGTTGCTATGAACCATTCCCAGTCATGCGTGGTTTATGGCATTGTTTTATTCACATCACTATGAATTATGATAATCTGGTTGGTGGTTTGGAACATTTGGATTATTTTTCCATTCAGTTGGGAATTTCATGATCCCAATTGACTTTAACTCCATCATTTTTCAGAGGGGTTGGTTGAAACCACCAACCAGATTATTATTAACCATCATTAACCATATATATAATAACCATTCATGTTAAGCATTAATATTAACAGTATATTACCAACCAATAGTAGGTGGCTCAGCCACCAAGCAGTAATCATGGATGATAACAGATGATCCATAGCGTTTTCTCTACCTCCAAGGTCCAGCGGAAGTCGCAGTGGTGCCACCCTGGGCGCAGGAGATGTCGGTTGATGTCGAGTATGTCGTTGAAAATGGGAGGATTTGACCATGAAAACCATGGGAAAAGCCATAGGAAACACGGAAAAACACCATAGGAACATGGGGATTGAAGCAAAGCAACTGGGGAGTCTGTTCAAAAATGACAAGTTCACCAGCTTTTACCATGAAAAACGATGATTTCAGCCATGGACCAATGCTTGTTTCAGTGTGAAAACGATGGCATCATTGACCCACGTCCAAATTCCAAGTGAAAGGATGAGAACACGTGAAGATGAACATACGAAATAAGTAGGAACAAACGTTGGGAAAGGGCGATCTGATTGATACAATAGTTGGTTTTCAAGATGCACAGAACTCGTAGCCATACTTTCCAATGGTTAGAGATGAAGTTGCTGACGCAAGTTACCAGTATGGCTGAACCATAAAACATGTCTAACAAGAAAAATTTACTGTATCAGGTTCAATGCTCAGATGTAAGCACTTTTCGTTTGTTTCTCTTTTAGGGTCAACTAATATATACTAATATATACTAATATATACTAATATATACTAATATAAATATATACTAATATATACTAGTATATACTAATATATACTAATATATACTAATATATACTAATATATACTAATATATACTAATATATACTAATATATACTAATATAAACTAATATACACTATAATATACTAATATATATATATATTATATACTAATATATATATATATTACATACTAATGTATATATATATATTATATACTAATATATACTAATATATACTAATATATACTAATATATACTAATATATACTAATATATACTAATATATACTAATATATACTAATATATACTAATATATACTATATATACTAATATATACTAATATATACTAATATATACTAATATATACTAATATATACTAATATATACTAATATATACTAATATATACTAATATATACTAATATACTAATATACAATATATACTAATATATACTAATATATACTAATGTATACTATATAATATATACTAATATATACTAATATATACTAATATATACTAATATATACTAATATATACTAATATATACTAATATATACTAATATATACTAATATATACTAATATATACTATATATACTATATATATACTAATATATACTAATATATACTAATATATACTAATATATACTAATATATACTAATATAATAATATACTAATATAATATATACTAATATATACTAATATATACTAATATATACTAATATATACTAATATATACTAATATATACTAATATATACTAATATATACTAATATATACTAATATATACTAATAGATACTGATATATACTGATATATACTGATATATACTAATATATACTAATATATACTAATACATACTAATTTGTACTAATATATACTAAATTATATACTAATATATACTAATATAATATATACTAATATATACTAATTATATCTAATGCCAATTTGATATGAACACCTGACCCTAGCTTTTGATCTTTCGCTGTTTGCTTCTCACTTTGGCTAATCCTCGGCGATGAAGTTGTCCAGGACAGCTTCGCCATGCCCTTCCCCAAACGGGAAGCTCGACGTCCAAGCTTAGACACATGGCAGGCATATGGCTGCGGAGATCCACCTGCTGAGGGGTCCGTGATGGGTATTTTACATATGAAAAATGGGCAATGTTTTGATATATACCAATACTGGTTGGTGGTTTCAAACATTTTTTATTTTCCATAATACATGGGATAATCCTTCCCATTGACTACTATTTTTCAGAGGGGTTGAAACCACCAACCAGAATAATATACCAAGAATCAAAGGGGAGAACCAAACTACCACTATCGGGATAATCACACAGGCTAAATGTGCGAAGAAAATACAGAGATATGCACCAATTCGATAGCCGTTTAACAAAATTCAGTTGTTGTACCAACATGAAGCCGGTGAAGCCACCATAGGTGCGGGGCTTGCCCATCGCGATATCCTAAGGACCACGGTCGCCGGAAGAATGGTCCCCTGGCTGGATTTCGATGCAAATTGTTGGCTTAGCAACCTATAGAAATATGATGTCATATAGTAACAGAGAAGGTACCTCTCCATCCGTCCTCTTACTGTAGTATTTTTGTTGAGATGTCTATTTCCGACCTTCTTTTGGTTGCTATGAGCCACTGGCTGGATGCTTTCTAGGTATTAGATGAGGCCTAGAAAATAGGGACAATGAATACATCCAAGTTGGCATTGTAAAAATGTGATTTCCCCTGTATCCCCAAGAGAAATGTTGGTGCTTCACATTTACCAGACTTGCAGCTTAAGGAGTAGAGCAAAAAAAGGGAACCTACCTGTGAAGGTCGAGATCGAGCCGCTGCTTTCAAATGACGCTTCTATGTGTTTTTTCCACCAATCATAGCATTGAACCAAGAAGTAGAATCTGAAACAACCAGAACCGTAGACTTGTTGACCTTCTCGAAGGGTGATCTTCCAATACAAATATTTAGGACCTAGGATGTGTTTCCCATATACCATTGAGAAAGGATGATTTCCGCCCAGTAGCGCGACCCAGGTGAAACGCCCGCAGAAAGAACGCACCACGTGTCTTGGTTCGCTGCGTTTCTGCCTGGGTGAAATTGACCTCCTGAGGACAGGTTACTGGGATTTGACCATCAGGGGTTACTGGCTTTGATTCATGTTTGAAAATATCAGGACCTTAAGAACCCCCTGGGATTATGGTTGTTACTAACCCATGTTTTTTTTATTGTTTTAAAGGTTGAAATTCGCAGAAACCACCAACCAGATGATGGCCATGACTGGTGAGTGGATAATCCTGTCAGATATCTTATTGGTGCTTCGTAGGGAATGGGGGAATGGGATGATTGCTCATGGTTACGGATTGGATCATTCCCCCTTTCCCTAAGCACCAGAAAGTTATGGTTCTTGTTATCATGTCATTTGCTAGTATTACTAGTGTTCACGAGTGACACATCACTACAAGATGACAGATATCTTAGTATAAGCGCATGTATATTCAAATATATGTCAAATATAGGTGTTGCCAGAAGCTACATCACCAAGTGGGTACTTCATAATCACCGCACTGCTACATCACTAGAAAGGATGGTGAATGCAAACTATCCCCAGATGGCCAAACATTTTGGATTGGTGAATGATTCTCGTTGTTCAGTCACGCAATGGACTTGTAATGAGGCAAAAAACGAATAAAAAACGTATACTATATTATCATATACTTATATAAAGTGTTATCCAGATTTTATATAATTTTTTATTACATAGTCTTACCAGTAACTGTGATTTTCGTTTTTTTTGTGGGGATAGATGGACTTCTTTTCTGGGAGCCACGACTCCACGACTCGCCGAGGATCACACGCAGACACTCGGCAGCTTTAAGCGTAAAACATGGGGGGTTGAGCCATTAAAAGTGGACAAGAAGTTCAACAAAAACATTTTGTGATTTAATCATGAACAAACCGGTGGCTAATTTCGCATGAAAAATATTTAAATTCCACCATCAAAGAACTGGGATAGATCTAAGGGTGACAACATTTTTAGACCTTAGAGAGTCATCATTTTCCTATAAGAAATCATCCATTTTGGGTGCCCCTCAGCTCTCAGCTTTTGCTACCCCCAATGTCTGCTGGTTATCCTTCCATCTTCGCCTCGGTAACTCTCTATTGACTGGTTTAAGGGACAATTTACAGGCAAACCCTACATTTGATGGTAAAGACCATGGTTTCCGGTTTCGATTTTCCCAACAACAATCCATTCATGTACGATATCATTGTTGGTATTTATTGGTGAAGGCCTCCTATTTTTCAATGGATTTTCCGTCCTATCACGAGATATCAATCCATTGAAGTCAGGCTACCTGCGCAGGCCATGCCGAAAGTCAGGTGCATCCCTTTGGTCCTGTCGAATGGTCAAATGGCGATGGTTTACAGCTGGGAAAATCATCTTTTTTAGTGGAGGTTAACTATGGTTTACAGTAGATACAGTTAATGGAATATAATTAAATGGGATATGAATGGGATGACTATGGGATACACCCTCCGGTAAGCAAATGTGGCAACTGAATATTCTCCTGTAAATGGAGGTTTTAATGTGAACATTATCTACACATGGTGGATTTTCCATTGCCATGTTTAATGACCGAAGGGTACGTCTGCAAATCACGGCCAACTTGTAAAGCATCAATATTTATTGTCAGGACAAGCATTATGGCATAGGGATACGGCTAATGATGTAACCATCAACATCCATCAACATCCATCAACCACACCACACCAATGACAGATGATTAGATGGTTGGGATGATCAGGCAAGGATGCGCGGTGGCCTTTGTGAGCAAAGCTGCAACTGGGCCTGGGCTTGGTCGATGATCTTTAAATGGGAGATGATTATCGATTATAAACAATGGGGTTTTGATTCAATGACTATAAGACTATAAAATCACCAATTAAAATTATATATACCCTCTGGTAATTTAACATAACTATGGTAAATCACAATTTTTAATGGGAAAATCCACTATAAATGGCCATGTTTAATAGCTATGTAACAAATTACCAGAGGGTAATCATCAATCTCCTGTTTTTGATGAAATAAATGGATTGACTCATTTTGATTACTGGGTTTTGATGACTATAAACCACACACTGGGTTTTGAAGGGAGATAATAAGAATGGAGGTTTGACCATGAAGTGGGGCTTGAATCGGCCAAATCGAGGTTGATGTCAGACATCAAAATTTGGATGCTGACCCAAAAAGATGCTTCTGTCCTATAAATTTGGTGAAGGGGCAATCCTTTGTTACAGATGGTTTTCTCGAGATTCACCACTTCTTGTGGTGCTTGTCCATGTGTATCTTCTCTTGATTTTTCAGAATGATGTGGCTCAATGAAATGTAGGCATCCTCATGATTCGCTGCTCACATATCTTTGTTTTTCCCATTTTAAATTCCTTTACTGTCTATCTGATCTTGTCACATCAATTCCCGAGAATGATCATGGTTGGTGATAAATCTCTGGTTGAGACATGTTACCTCTCTATTTTTCACCATTCAGACATCCCAATTTTCCATTCTGCGACGGATGAAGACATCATCCGAGGCGGAACCCAATTTTCAATACCGACCCTACATGGAGGACCAACCGGAAACGCCAAGATCCCACAGCTCCGGGATGTGCAAAACGAAACTGGAGTCTGCCCGATATTTTTGTGAAGCAGACACTATAGTTACGTATAGTTACTACTAGTACATACTGGTACATACTGATATATATACGTGTATATATATATATTATATACAATGTATATTACATATACACATAATATAGATATTATATCTTATTATATGATATTACCAAAAAGGCACGGTGATTCTCATGGTGATTCACCTTAAATGCCATATTTGTGGCACTTTCCCGGGAGCCAGGACAAATATGCCATCATCGATCCGTTCATGGAGGGCGAAATTGCCAACGAGACGTTCCTCGTCTTTGGTGCTTCAAATTACCTGGGGTGATACTCAGAGATGTAGGCTGGTTGTCACAGAGAGGTTTGCGCAAGCTTTCCATCTGCATTAGCATACAGTAGATGTTGGTTGAACTTCCAGTTTCTTGGTCGTCTACCATCCTGGTTTTGGTTGTGTGATCCCGCCATTTTGGCTGACTTGCCTATTGTTCATTGCTTAAGTTCCCATTTTGGTGGGCTAAACTTGCCATTTTCGGTTTCACCCATTTGTATCATTTGTTGCTCACTATGTAAGTCCCCGTCATTGTGAAGTAGAGACTCATTTTTCGTGTCTTCAGTACGGCATTTACGGCATCATTGATGGCGAAACGGCTACGTTTGTGGCATGAACCAACCACCCCCCCATTTTGATGGCACAGATGTTGTTGATCGAACCGCTGCCGCTAGCTTTCTGAGAAAATATTTCAAGATCTCAGTTCTTGTCTCTGAAATCCAAACTCTTTTTGCATCCAACTTTGATTTGTGAAGCCCCAACAATAAAAACAACATCATCCAACTCGTTTTTGTTGGTAAAACCACCTAAAGTGTTACTGTAATCAAATTCTCATTTTCTATAATGTTTCTGGGTAAAAATGGGCAAAAATCTCCACTTTCCCAGCCTCGCCAGGTGGGGCTTCTTCGCGGTCTACGACGGCCACGGTGGGGCCTTAGCGGCGGAGCATTGCGAAGCGGAGCTGCACAAGGTTGGGAAATCCCATGGCACTTGGTGGGGATAAAATTGACAAGAGAGGGCGATTTCATGGGATATGAATGAGGTTATTTACATCCATACATACATACCTACATTCATTCATACATACATACATTCATACATAAATACATTCATACATTCATACATACATACGCACATAAATACATCCATCCATCCATCCATCCATACGTACGTACGTACGTACATACATACATTCATACATTCATTCATACATTCATACATTCATACATTCATACATTCATACATTCATACATTCATTCATACATTCATACATACATACATACATACGTACATACGTACATACGTACATACGTACATACGTACATACGAACATACATACATACATACATTCATACGTACATAAATACATACATGCATGCATGCGTGCATGCGTGCATACGTGCATACGTGCATACGTGCATACGTGCAAACGTGCAAACATGCATACATGCATACATGCATACATGCATACATGCATACATGCATACATGCATACATGCATACATGCATACATGCATACATGCATACATGCATACATGCATACATGCATACATGCATACATGCATACATACGTACATACATACACATACGTTACATACGTACATACGTACATACGTACATACGTACATACGTACATACGTACATACGTACATACGTACATACGTACATACGTACATACGTACATACGTACATACGTACATACGTACATAAATACATACATACATGCATGCATGCTTACATGCTTACATGCTTACATGCTTACATGCTTACATGCTTACATGCTTACATGCTTACATGCTTACATGCTTACATGCTTACATGCTTACATGCTTACATGCTTACATGCTTACATGCTTACATGCTTACATGCTTACATGCTTACATTCTTACATGCTTACATGCTTACATGCTTACATGCTTACATGCTTACATTACATTACATTGCATAACATAACAAAACATAACATTACATTACATTACATTTCATACATAACTTACATGAATATATCACTTACATAACCAACAAATGGTGATACTGGGTTTTCATTGCGGTATACGGTATAATCAAGGGATATGATCAAAATCGATTATAATCAAACCAACTTGAACCATTCAACAATTGGTTAACCAAAACAAATTGAACTAGCACAAATGGAGATTGAACTGTCAAAAAATGGTTTCTCAGCCCATGATATCTGGTTGTTCGGCCATGAAAAAGCAATGTGAACCCATCAATGTGGATGGCACTAATGAGCTTAATAGTATACCGGCACTGTTAACTATTACACTACGATAGCTGATTCTTTGCCGTATTGATTGTAGCATTAATAACTATGGAAGATCCATAGCCACAATGATCAATATAATGGTTGGATCTTCCGCAGATGGTTTGTTGTTGTACTGATCATACGACCTCGTGGGTCGTCCTGAGCAACGGCGAATATGATGGCATATGATGGCTTATCACACCATGATGATGCGGATTTTACCGACCCCAAAAATGGTTCTTCCAAGACAATGTATGCGAACATACTGTACCTATCTGTGCCCAAAATCGTGACATACAGATCGTGACATATAGCTATGTATGATAGACTATCTACGAGATAGATAATACTATTATTACCGTAGCCGTAGCCCTTACAATGTACATATATAAATGATTTGGATGACAAATATTGTGTTTGGATAAATTCTACCGACACTATTTGACCCTGGTTGATGCTTAGCAAAGGATAACTATCCCACAATGTCCTTATTTCAGCTTAATGAATTATTGATAATGTATACAACAATTGTTCCAATCTCCCGGACATATATACACTGTATATATGTAAATTACATATACATTGATGTATAATATCCGATATCCTGTACAATATGTCATACACATGTATGTATATATATATATACACATATTATTTACGTGTATATATATATATATATGCATATTAAATTATATGATACATATTGTCATACATCTATGATCTGTGTCATCTAAATACATGTGTGAATATGACTACGCTATATAAATATATATCAGAAATACTAATGCAGCATCTAAATACATTTACATATAATATACTATGCTGACTATCAATACATATGTATATATAATTATACAATTGTATAAAATTATTGAATAGTGTGCTTTTTAACTACCTGTTTGATTGGGATTATGTCCAGTATAAACCAGTAGAACTAGTAAACTATAAATACTATTATTCTAGATGACTTATAACAAAATTACTGCGACCTCACTGGAATGATGCTTAGTAAGGGGAATCATCCACAAATGGCCTAACAATTCCAATGCGTGAATTAGTGTAATTTGTCCAGATCAATTTATCAGGGATATATTTGGGGATTTATGGGAAGTGAGTGAAATATTGCATTTAATTTTAGCCAGTTACTCATCTATATATATATATGTATATATGTATATGTATATACAGATGGATGGATGGATGGATAGATAGATGGATAGATAGCCAAAAATATACCATTGGTTTTCCATTCATATTCCATTAACAATTCATGAGGTTAGTGACATATGATGTTGATCAATATCGCTACTAGTATACTAGATTATTAGTACATTGTAATACTAGTCTAACACAATATACTACAAATGGTATACTAATATTATACTATTATGATTCTATGGTCATTTCTACCCTCTGGTAAACGAACATAACTATGCAAATCACCATTTTTAATAGGTAAATCAACTATGTCTATGGACCATGTTGAATAGCAAACTGTTAAATTACCAGAAGATCAGCAGGGTATACCATCATATATCCTATGTCTATATATGATAGTATATCATATTAGTATACCGAATAGTCTATTATGTTAGACTACTATATAACATTGGTCTATCATGTCTAAGTTACCAGAGGGTATACCATCATATATCCCATTAAATCCCATGTATGTTAGATTAACTATCCTATTAACTCCCCTTTTAAACCACCATTACAATCATCATTAAACCCCCATTTTCAATTCACCATTAGAACACCATTAAACCACCATTAAATCACCTATAAATGGCAATTTTCAATAGTTATTTGACATAATCAGAGGGTAAACCTCCATTTTCCTATGGTTTTCCTATGGTTTTCCCATGGTTTTCCCATGTTAGACTCACAGAGGGTAAGTCCCCCCTTTTCTCGTAGGTCTTGGCGCAAGAGTTGCGGAGCGCCATGAAGGCCCGCCGGCCCAGCTCGCCTCTACGAGACGAGGCCGGGAGTTTTGTTTTCGGCTTGGTTTTCCCATCGGAAAATGGCGATTTCCCATGGGGAAACCATGGGAAAATGGGATTTTCCAGCCATTTCACCATTCAAAATGGTGATTTTGAATGGGATAGAAAAATACTTAATGGGATGAACCAACTTATAACTGGCCTCAGTTGGTGATTTTTTTTTTGGGGGCAAATGCGGCAAATGATAAAACACACACCACATTTTGCTGGGATTATGTCTAACCAGAAAGCATAACTTGTTTCTTTTTGGTTGTTGTGGGATATTTTGAACATTGTTTTTTGTGGGATCATTGTGCAGAGGATTTAATGGGTGTTACCGCGACGGATACAAATGGAGGTGCCGTTGATTTTCCCTGAAAACTGGAGCGGGAACGAACAAAACAGTGATGTACGACGCATTTACATTATATATAAAAATAACATTGTTTTTCCATTCCAGGGAGCACATTTTTTTGAATTTTTCTAAAGAAACAAACGACATTTGACCAAACAACCAACAACGATGATGTCTACACATCTAGCAAGATGATGGATCATGATGATCTACGGATCTAGTATGATGGATCATGATGATACAGCATATGTGATAATCATCAAGTATACCTAGATCCAACGGAACATGTATGTAGCCATGTGAATACATCCATGTCTAATGTAATGTTTATTTGGCAATCAAACCTGGCAATTGAGGTTTGAATGGGACAAATCATATTTATACAGTAAAAACCATTATTAGATGTAAAATATGATGTATAAATTAGATATAAACACCATTTACTAATCATACATGGTGGATTTTCAATCACCTCTGATTAGCGGATGGTACATTGCTTCCATCCATTTTCCGTTCAAGTCAGCGCAGGCTGTGGCAGAAGCCATGACGCGAAGCTTCCAGAAGGCAAGGTTTTGGATGACGACCTCGGGTCGTCGGAAAGTTTGGATATCGGGGGGAAAAATGCTGATTTAATGAGATATAGTGGGATATACCCTCTGGTAAACTGACAAAACAATGGAAAATCACAATTGTTTAATGGATAAATCTAGTATAAATGGCCATTTTCAATAGCTATGTTAAATTACCAGAGGGTATACCAAACAATATATATATATAATCTCATTCCCCTAACACAAAACACCTCCCATAAACCATGTTTGTGGGGGATAAAAACACCTTTTTGGGACCATAGAATGGGGGTGGTTAGCATGAATGGGGAACAATACATGGCAATTCGAGTAGGAACATGATGATAAACCATGACAAACCCTCTGTGGAAATTTGGGGTTGTCTGTCAATGGGGATTTAATGACTTGCATGAAAGACATTTAAATTGCAGTTTCAGTAGAAAGCAACAAAAAATGTTCTCAAACGCAGAAACTCAGGGAATCTGCCAGGATGGCTTCTGGTGCCTTTTATATCCTACTGTTGGTGAGATCAGAAGTTTTTGTGGTTGGACACTCTGGAAAACATGGTCAAAAATCTTGGGTAAATTACCTAGATTGAAGGTTGGTATTGAAGCTTGGTCATCAATCTATTAAATCTATGAATAGAGGTTAATAGACTCATTCTATATGGCAGTGGGTCAAAATTAGGTACCCCAATAGTTGGATGGTGAATACTAAACCTGACTAACATCTGTGGTCCCCTAGGTCTTCCATTTTGACCCACATCCATATATATACACATAGAATTCCATTCATGTGGGACGACAATCGGGCCGTTCAGGCCATCCCCAGTGGCTGTCCATGTTGGAGCTATTTAAGTTGATCTGTTTATTTTTGGAAAAACGTTTATTGGAGGGTACAAAAAACCATACACAAAGTGTTCTTTATTTGTTTATTTCTTTATTTGTTGATGTGTCGATCTGTGTTTATGTATGTTTATGTGTTTATCTCCATCTGGTCCGTTTCAGGATGTTGATCCTACGATATTTTTGGTCCAATTTTGTTTAGCAAACTTCAAAACATGCCTTTTCGACACTTTTCAATTTCTACCAATTTTCAAAACTTATCTATTGCCTACCAATATGTTTGCATCTATCAACCATCTACCAATCACCAACAACAAAATACAACTGTGTCATCTACCGGTTATACCAATTCTGGATGGATTAAACCATAGACTCCGATTTTCAGTATTTTTGGGGCTTTGATTGATTTTTCATGTGACTCATCGTAATTCTGCCAAGTTACAACATTGCTCAACAAACCACCCAATAAAAGCACCAGTTTTGCATGGTGAAATCCATCATTAGCATATGATCCCATTAAATACGATTAAATATCTCACTATTATCAGATGATCATCCCATTAAATGATCACAAATTATTGGCTCACCATGGTCAATGAAGCCATGAAACATCATGTCATATGTCAAGCCTGGTTTTTGATGGTTAAATCTCCATTCTTGGCCGAATCCAGATGATTCATGGGATATTCATATGAAATCCATCATTTCGTGATGGATTGATGACTTTTGCTGGTTAATCAATGTTAATCAATGTCAATCCATCCATTTTCGATGGTTTCATCCCCATGAACTCCGAGATTTTCCGAGATTTTCCCATGGTCCCAGGCCGACGAACAGCTCCGCACCGTGGGCGCCTGGCGCTACGGCTGCACCGCCACGGTGTGTCTGGTGCGGCGCATGGTGCAGTCCGTGCGCATCCACGTGGCGTGGACGTTGGTTGGACGTTGGGGACGTTGCTTCAGCGGTGGGGTCGATGTAGGCAGGTTGAGTTAGAAATGTTGTGAAATGTTGTGAAATGATAGGCTATTATACAATGTGGGGCCCCCCAGTTATGAGTTGGTTTATAAACCCCATTAACTATAGTTATAACTACCATAAACCATAGTTATTGGACTTAAGTGCACCAAGTGAACGCTATCTAGGGGGCCTCACATTGTGATGATTTGGAGCTCCGGTAATTTGAGGGAAAACCTGGGAAAACCTGAAGGATTTCAAGGATCACTTCAAGGCCACCATCCGGCGCAGCTGGTATCGAATGAGTTTAGATTGTCTCATATATAACTATATATAGACATAGACATGATATTATACTGGGACATAAATATATTATAATCATATATATTATAATTATAGACATATATATATATAACATTTATATGAATGAATATAATAAACTATATACTATAATTATAATGGTGATAACATAATATAGTGATATATATATATATTCTCTATAAGTACATCTGTTATTTTCCAGGGGTGGCTCAACAACCGCAATGGCCATGTCACGTGGCTCAAGACCAACGCCACATCGCGTTGCGCGACTGCGATGAGTCGATGTTCGGTCCATGTTCCACGGACCCGGTCCGCCTGGCGCGTCCGGCGTGCGCAAGCTGGGCTTGGAGAACAAGCGTGGCTCAAACCACTGTGCCCTGCCATGGTTGGTTGGAATGGGTGGTTGCTGGGTCCCCTGGAAAAAACGATAACTTGGTGAACAGAACTTGGGGAACGTCTGGGTTTATGGAGGATATATATATATTATAATACAATATATATATATATAACTCCAGTATTAAGCTCTAAACCAACTTTGCACTGGGTCCGGCAAATGGACGTCCCAAGCAGTTGCTATCCAAACGGATCATCCAACAAAACCTCCCAAGATGTTTGATGGATAGTCCAAAGTTGTTTACTATACCCCTGGTAATCAAACATGACAATGGGACATCATGGGAACTACAGAAATAGCCTTTTAAAAGAAAAAACATCAGTAGGTGCGGTTTACCGAGGCTTTCTCAACGTAGTCATCCAAGCCTTCTGGAACTTGCAAGCCTTTCGCACACGGCTTCTGGCAGAACCACACCATGCCAACCGAACGTCGTGCATGTGCTGCTATTGTGAGCTGAAAGCGCTCTTCCAGGAATGTAGTGCAACTCAGGATTTGCTTTAGGAATTGGGCATGGGATGGCATGGGTCAAAAAATCCTTGAACACAGATGCAATGGATTGAAATGGTCATTTTTTTCCTGATAAGCTTTATCTTATTTTCATATTGACTGAATCCATCTCAAACCAGAGAACCCCCAAATGGGATCGGTTTACCATTGAACCCTAGTGGGTTAGACAGTGCCTACCTAGTTTTTAACCAAAGCCCAGATACTGGTTGAATCAGTATCACTACTTTGTCAGATGGTTTCAGCAGCGATAGATGCAGACGACAAGAAGCAACATATGCAACACCCCACCGCACCCCACTTGAAGCCAAATGTGGGTTGGCCGGTTAGCCCCACAAAGTAAGGATTTTACTGATATAGATATAGCTTCATCAAAAGATTAGGACTAAATCATACTTTTATATCATTATCTCAGAATGACCTCTATGATCCCTTGACCCCATATTGTATTATAGATAGTATCCAAAAATGCTAAAGAAACTATGATCCCTTGACCCCATATTGTATTATAGATAGTATCCAAAAATGCTAAAGAAACCCCAAAAAATCCAAAATATGATGCCATATACCCTCTGGTGATTCAACATGGCTATGAAAAAAGTCAATAAAATAGTTGGTAAATCATTTATAAATGGGCCATCTATCCCATAGCTTTGTAATGACAAGAAGGGTATACCATAATAATTATTAATCACTAATTATAGATCATCAATAAGCCCATTAATTATAAGCTATAAGATATTCATGGATTATATATATATATATATAATCTTATCCCAGTAAGCCCCATTATAGATCATCCCATTATAGATCACCCTTTGAGAGAAGGAACATCCCTGAAAATCCCGGAATCTCATGAAATCCCGAGTGAAATCCCCTTAAAAGCCCCATATTAAAAGAAATTAAGATCCCATGAAAAAACTCCAATCATACAAACACTCATTTTTGTTTGCTAAATCTCATTAAAACTCCAATGAAACCACCATTTTTGTCAGGTCTCCGAGGCGAACTGCCTGCCCCCGGACGGCCTGCGCCGTGCCTTGTCCAGCGTCTACTTCGCCAACGGACGTTTCAAAGCGGGCGCCTTTGACGAGACCGTTTTCGGCTGGAGATGGGCGCCTGGAGATGCTTGGGGGGAGCTGAAAAACCCGATTTTTGGTTAAAAAACCATACTGATAATGGCCTTATACTACCCTTTTTGTAATTTTTCGATGGTAAACTTAGGGATGATAAACATGTCATTGTTTTAACATGCTTTAACCACACTTTTTTTTTTGCATGGGAACCATGACGAACAAACAACTGGTTTTGAATTGACATTTTCCAGGGACTAATCGTCAACAATGGGATCAAACCAACTCTGATATGGGGCCCTGTAGCGTATTTTCAGACAAAGCCATAGGAAAGATTGCTTTACCATGGGAAACTCACGTGACTGTTTGGTATTATGTTGTATTGGCTTAAGTATCAACCATGGATGATTTGGGCATATTTTGAATATATGGGTTTACCATGGTTTACCCAGATGAAACATCTTAAGTTTAGCAAACCAGTGAAATGTACGGGGCATTAGCCACTTCCCATTCCCATCAATAAGTAAGTGGTTCGTACGCCGTATATTTCACTGGGTTAAACCTCCGGTTTATCCCTGGGTGAACTGATCATGGTTGTTAAGCACATATATAACTGGTTGGTGGTTTGGAACATTTTTTAATGACTTTCCATATTAATTGGGAATGTCATGTCATCCCAATTGACGAGTTGTCCATTATTTTTCAGAGGGGTAGGTATACCAACCACCAACCAGATAAGATCGTTAAGATTCTAGGTTCTTAAAGTACTATTACAAGTCACACCATCGAAAGTCACTTCTGGATACACCATTCTAGATTACCCAGAATATAGTACTAGATTCTTTCTAGATACTCATTAAATAGTACTATTACAATTAACACACCATCGATTCTAGATTAATGGTACTATTATAGTACTATTACAATAACATTATAAGATTCTATTACAATATCCATTAAACTACTATTACAATAGTACTATTACAATACCCATTAAAGTACTATTAAAGTCACATTCTACCCCTACTACGACCGTCACAGCCTCGAAAGCCGACCTGGACTCTTTTTGGAGCCTGGTGGAATGTATTGGATCTGAATGGTGTGTTTTAAATGGAAGCCATGGTGTTTATCCCATTATTCCGTTATCATCCTCCATTAATCTTCATTAACCTCCATTCATCTCCATTAATCTCCATTTAAACCATATTTAAACCATATTTAAACCATATAAAATCCATGAAAATCATATATTAGATAGTGCGTTTTGTTGGATCCAACCATCATGGACATCACCAACAGGGCCTTCCCCGGCGTGGACCACGTCCCACCTCGACGTCCGTCGTCGTTTTTTTTGGTCGGTCAGGTGACATGGAAGATGCCAGTGAAACCTTGGACGCCTTGCTGGGCATTTTGCACGTGCCTTGGGTGTGCCAAGGGTCGGCCAAGTCCGATGGGTCGGCCGGCCGGGGATTTTGACATGGGAAAACCATTGGAAAACCATGGGGAAAACCTGTTGGGAAACATCATCATTTTGCGACACAGGAAAATATGAAGAAGAACTCTTTGGTTTCACCTGGTTTCACCCAAAACTGAAGGCTTTAAATGACAAGTGGTGATTCAGCCGCCAAAAAAACACTCTCAAGGGGAAACCTGCATCACTCACCTGGAGTAGATACACGATTTCCCACTTCCCAGTGGATGATGGGCCACGTGTTTCAAATACCCATCGTTTTCCGAAAATTTGAGGGATACCCGCAATTCCAACGGATTACAACAAATGGTCTTAATTGGGTGGCATGCCCAAATTTCAGACACACCCAATGCCCCAACATCAACCTGTGGAATGTTGTTGGACTCTATCCATTGCGGGATATTGTAAACACGAAAAAGATACTCATGTTGTAGGAGTACTGTATCAAAACCATTCAAACACAACGTTTGGATATTGCTTGAACTTTACCAGGCGCAAAGCCTATTGCTATCTATTGCTTGTATTTTGCGGCAAACATCAGCCTTTTTTGGGGGCAGACCCATATATCATCATGTATCATGTTGACCCAGGAAACCCAACCAGGAAAGCCCTTGATCTGACTGGAGGTCATCCCTCCTAGTCTTGAATTCCCCTACACATCATATTTTGTAATATGGGCCAACAAAGATGAACGAAAATGAATAGATCCAGACACTCAACGAGGTGTAAGACATGACAACAGTTTCCCCAAGGATGGTTTTTTCAAATCAGCAGGAGAACTTTGGAGGAAAAGATCCATTGATGTCCCCCGAGGCTTGTCATTTGGAGCAGCGTTCCCCCGCCATACCTGCGCAGATGTTGGATCTTTCACATGTCGAGCCTTGGGAAAAACCCGGGGGGTTAGCTAACCATTGAACCCCCGGATGAGCTAACCCATGTAACAGTGGGGTTAGCTAACCTTTGGGAATTTTCAGGGATAACATTTAACCGCAATAACTATGTAACAGTAGGGGGTGAATTGGTTGAGAAATTGGTCGAGATTTCTGCCCCCAGAATTCCACCCATGAGGAAACCAGCAGTGCTACGACAGGATGAGTCAGCCTGCTCCGAAACCAGACAAGTACCGAAAATGGTCAGCCCTAAGTTGAAAGTCAGGTTGTATACCTCAGAGAATCTCCACTGGTACTTTTTCTTTAGACGTGGCTACCGGTAAGCTACCTCTACTTTGTAACTGGCAGGGGGGAAGCCTCCAATTGCTGAGGAGAAAGCGAGCACCTTCGGATGTCATCCCCTGTGCTTTGCCCACGATATCTTTGGAATCGAATATGTGCCTTGAACCTCTGTGGAGACTGCGGGCATTGTCAACTTCCAAATTTTCTTCTACTGAAAACCTCATTTTTTGGCCGGTAACCTTTCTTGCCAACAAAAAATTCATGACTTAAGCCTTGCGCAAACTGAGGTTGATGTGCCACATTGCACCTTCTGCGTCTTGGATGTCTTGGATGTCGACTGGTTGGGTTCGTTTCCGTCAGAGCTGTTGTCGACATCCAAACATGTCATCTGAGGTGGAGCCACTGGAGAGTCACTTGGAGCCACTGGCGAACAAAAATGTGGGAATTTCTACCTTGGGAGACCCCAATGTTTTGTTGTATAATCTATAGATATCTATAATACAGTATCTATAAACTATAAATTGTTGTATATTATAGATATATATATATATATCTCTCTCTCTCTCTTCTGGTAATCAAACATGGCTTGCAGGAAAATCCTCCATTTCCTCCATTTATAGATGGTTTGTTTTCCCAGAAAAAAGTTACATTGCCGTCACAACGAGGCCGTCCATGTCAAGCTCCTATCTCTACACCACCTATGCCAGTGAGCTGCTGGCCATCGTGGGAAGCCGCTCGGGTTCCTGCGAAGATGAGTTCACTACGGATCCCATAGGCCTGGGGATGGCCTGGGCTCGGTGAAGATGGCTGGGATGTTTCGGAGACCGGTCAAACATGGCTGGGAAATCCTATTTTTGTTGTTTTTTTCGTGCGAAAAAATCATCTGGTTGGTGGTTTGGAACATGAATGGATTATGACTTTCCATATATTGGGAATGTCATCATCCCAACTGACGAACTCCATCATTTTTCAGAGGGGTAGGTATACCACCGACCAGTCATCTATAAGTAGGGGATTTTGAATTGCACTGCTTGATTACCGGAGGGTATTTTATGATATTGTTCTAGAATATGTGGGGATACTTACCAGCAAAGTGGTCATGCATAATCAAACATAGGAATCGAAGTGGGGACTTGGAACTTGGAAGGAACTCAGATTCAGAGGGTCTCAACATAAATGACAGCTACTGCCGAATCAATGGGTTCAATTAAGGTGTACCCGGCCTGGTAAACATACAAAAAGCTATGGAAAATTACCATCTTCAATGGGTAAATCAACTATTTCTATGGCCATGTTCAATAGCTATTTTGACATAACCAGAGGGTACCTTTAGGACAAAAGTCCTCAAACCATACCCGTTGAGGATTTGGAGAACCAAACCAGTCGGATTCATCGCTTTTAACCACAAGGGGGGTAGCCAATCATTTCACACCCAAAGCCCAAAACAAATTGTTACGCGTTTTTTTTCGGTTTATTGTTACGCTTTTGGTGGTAGCTATATTATACTATATATACATACCGTAAGAATCTGCAACAAACGTTCATCGATAAAAGGCTGTCCTAAGGTTTGGTGATGTCTTTATCTCAGTTCAAGTCGGTTTACTTCAACCCACAGCGCACTCACGAGCGCCACAGCGCCCACACCTCGGTCACGGAGGAGTCTTTCAAGACATGTTGACCAAAGCGACCTCCAGATTCTCGGGGCCTCCTGCAGCTCGGCACGCTGGCGAAACTTGAAGAAACCTGACGCTGGAGATCTTGAACTGGTCTCTTAAGTGATCCCCGGTTTTTTCAATAAAAAACCTGAAGATTTGTTGAAGCGATCATGATCAAACCTGACTTGGTAACCCCGGCAACCCCTGCTGTTTGGCACCAAGTGATCAAACTCCTGCAGGATGATCCCTGAAGTTAGATGCGATGGGTTGATATTTAAGATATGAATGGGGTGCAAACTATACATCATATATAGCCAGTTTTTTTGAATGAATGTGTATAGATTATTACATCGTTATATTATTTATAATATATATATATATTCCATAGTTGTATGGTTTTATATCCCATGAATCATCCCATCCGCAGCACGTCACGTCACGGCGTTTTTTTCAGGCGAGTCTTCCAGATCTTCTGCGAGCACTTGGTCAAGGGCGTCAGCAGCCGTGCTGCGGTAGCACTGAGGTTGTGGGGGGTCCCATGGTATGGGTTCCATGAATCAGGGATCCCCATGGTTGGTTTCATAGATGTCCCAAATTCCCATTGGTTGGTTGATTAATAGATGGGTTTGAAGAAACCCCTTTAACAATAGGTAAATGATGATAGATGGTATACCAAACCGGTCCCTCTATTTTTACCAAAAGGACATTATTGGTTGGTTTACCCTCTGGTAAACATACAAAGTTTGCTACGGAACATCATTTTGAACATGGGAGAATCTAAACTATTTCGACTGGGCCATGGCTTCAATAGCTATGTAACAAAGTACCAGAGGGTATAGTGGAAAATCCCAGCTATGGATGATTTAGGTGTACCCCCTGGAAATGGAAACCTCCATATTTGATGAGGCTAATTAAAGCAAAAATGATTTGCACCATCCCCAAATGGTAGTTCTTTTATGGCATTGGGTTGCCCACATTATTCTTTCCAGACTCCATAACTCTGATATAAATGGAATTCAAATCATGGGAGTATCTGACATGTTCAATAAAGTCTATCATTTTACAGCTTTCTGATATGACCCAGCTATCCCAGTGTAGATCATTTGGCTCGTGCCGCGGACATTGAGTCAACGACATGGTGCCATCCGCCTTCTCAGTTTGGCTCAGGTGCATTGATTGCAAATCGTTCAAGATCCATGCAGAAAGATGGCTAACGAGAAAGTTTCTGGTCCAAATATGTACTGTACCAGTGGGCCGTGTGGGAAAAGGGTTGGAAAGGCTGTGGTTCTGCAGTTTCAAGAGCCTGGTTCGCGTCCTGTAGCGCTTGGTGGTCGATTGTTCAGCCATTGCCCTTCCCTCGTTTGATCGAGGAGCTAACGCAGCTAACGTGCCATTTTCTCATATTTCATCCAGTAAAAAGAGCATGGTGTGTTTGATTTTTGTATCATTGTGAATCTATAACTTGGAGGTGTCCTAAAATGGCGGTACCCCAGTCATCATCATGGTCCAATGGTTGTCAACCGAAAAACATATTGAGTCATGGTCATCCATGATGACGCCATTGAGGCCACGGATCTTCACGATCTCACTGGTTTGGCCCAACACCACACCCTTTTCGGATGACATTTGGCTAATCCTCTGCATGCTTCTGGGCAAGTCAGAGAGGGGAGAACGATGGAGAAAGTCAAACAAACGGTAAAGGTGCTGAGGCATAAAGATATATAAAGATCTTTTGTAAGTGCGAAAAACTTAATCCAGGTGACAGAATTTGTTTTGCTTCTTGCATTACATTAGATTGGATTGGGTTGAATCCTTCAGTTGCTGTTTCAAATGCCAATGCAGGGAAAGAAACACTTGCAACAAACAAGTAGTCAAACACCAGGTGCTTGACTGATATTGCTGCCTGGTTCATTAGTTTGAAGCCGCCAGCCCAATGTTGAGCCAGCCCATTCTTTACTAGCTAAAGATCGCAGTATGTAGATGTGGTATATGATATATGTATAATATATATTATATATATGTTGTATGTATATACACAATATATATTAAACGTACGCCTGAATATCCAATCATTGTATCAGAAAAATGTCCCGTACGTTCATCCCATCCCCAGATCCAAAAAAAACACTTCAGTCCTAGTCAGATGATGTTGCAACAAAAAACCATCGTTTTCGCGGGGTATCGCAGGGTGTTTGATATGAGGGAGCGATGAAACCAGCATTTTTTGATGGTTTCCTGGAGTTTCCCCTATGGCTTTTCCGATTATATCATATTATATCTCCATGAATTGTTCCAGTACTAGCCCATTGTCTCTACATAAGCCTGGTAGCTTAGCCCAGGCTTATATCCTGTTCCCCGAGCACTTAGAAGCTCCCAGCTGAGGTTGAAACCCCGGCTGAAGATGGAGCAGATCTTCAAAGTTTCTCCACCTTCTGATGACGTGTCCCCTGCATCTGACCCTATGTAGGCTGTATGTTGTTCTTTTTTTCCAAGATTTTAGAATTTTGGATGATGTGAGATGGTTTTTTCGATGATTTTAGGTGATTTTGGGTGGATTTTGGAGGATGTTGGACGGATTTTCGATGATTGTTAGATGAATTTGGATGATTTTGAATGCTTTTGCATGATTTTTAGATAGAGTTCAGATGATTTTGAGACACCCCATTTGCCCAAATCTAAAGAACAGTGAATTTGGGGATCTGCCAAGTCATTCTGTAGATAAATGGATACCCTTAAGCCAGAAATAGTGCTCCCCAATGGGTCGACTCTTTGACCGTCTTTGACCCGACAGAACTCAGTTCTGTCGGCAGGGCCAGATATTCCAGGTTGATCTTGCAGGCGATTCCCCTTGTGGCATGCTCTCATGACAATTGTATTTCACATTTTAGAACAACTGAAAACTGAAACCAGAGAACTCTGATTTTTCAATATTTTTCACTCAATTTGCAAGTTTCGATTTAAAGTTATTCACCATCAGTTGTTTTTTGACGAAGGTCCTACTGTTATCTATATGTTCAACTACGTTTAACCATTGTCAATCTATAGTTCTTCACCATGTTTTCCTCCCAACCACTAGGTCCTCCTGTTTTTCCATTCAGTTCTTCACCATCTTTTGCCACTGTAAAAATTTCATCACGTTTCTGGTAACCTGGATTTTTTGCAGGTCCCCCGTATCTTTGTTTGTTTCCCTTAAGGTCCTACTGTTTTCATGGGATGATCTGCTACAAAGCGAGCCAGCACTACGTGGCCGTCTTCTGGTGCCAATCCACGAAGCGCTGGACCTTCTTCGACGATCGCCTGGTTGAGGAGAAGGAGGACTGGCTGCAGGTGGCTAACTTCCTGTTGCAGGATGGGCGTCTAGGCCTTGTTGAAACGGAAAACAAACGTTGGGATTTGACCGAGAACAATGGGGCTGGACAATTCCTTAAAATATACCCTCTGGTAAACTAACATAGCTATGGAAAACCACCATTTTTAATAGGTAAACCATCTATAAATGGGCCATTTTCCATAGCTATGTTAGTTTACCAGAGGGTATATAGGGGAAAGAACTAAGACATGTTGGGATTTATGAAAAATCAACATTGAGATATTTTGGCTAGAAAACTTGTGGACTTGGCATATATATATGCTTTTCCCATTCAACTATGGCCTACAGCTATAATCTCAGGTACATGCCCACCTTGATCTTCTACGAACGCCTGGACTCCGACGTCCCTCCGTCATCGCTGGAAGAATTGGATCGACAGGTGCAGCAGTTACAGGAACAGACCAGCTGCGCAGCCATGTGACACAGACCGTGGCGACGGTCTAGCGGATCGTGGCGAGCGAAGAAAAGGTGGGGCATCGACATATCGACATGGCAATTTTTCATAATTTGTTTCCCATTTAGAATGTGTATCATTTGTATAGCTTGATCATATTTGATCATTGGGTTTGGATGGGTTGAACAGGAATGATTAGTTGCATCCCGACTTGGATGGTTCACTGGTTCACTCCCAATTCTTCAACTTGGTCAATCTCCATTTTCCATCATTTTCCAAAGTAAGATCTCAATTCTTATGGATTGAAATCTCAACTTTTTAGATATGCTTAGTGGTTAAATATAAGTTAAATATAAGTTCAATATAAGTTAAATATAAGTTCAATATAAGTTAAATATAAGTTAAATGTGATATTTCCGATCCGGCTCCGATCCACAAAAAGAGCTCGGATCCCCCGGGTCCAGCAGGATCGACATTTCCGCCAGTCATCTCCGAGATCGACTTTTCGACATCGCCAGGAGATCGACGAGATCGACTTTTCGACATCGCCATGAGAAAAAAATGGGCCATGGAAAGGGTGGGTTTAGGGTCTGGATTTCGATTTGATTTGGTTGTGATGGTTTAATATTGGTTTATAGATGTTGAAATTGTGATTTATGTTCAATAGTGATGGTTAAATAGTCATGACTAGTGGATATCATGGAGATTTACTGGGGATTTTTATCCACATGATATGATTTAGTTCGGGATAGATTTTGGGCGACCCTACCAGCAAATTGATTACACATTAATAATTTAATAATGGAATATAACAGGATATAGCCGCATTGGGTTAGGCCACCAATATGATATTTGGGTTTGTTTGAAGATGGGGTATAGCGGTATAGTGTAAATGGCAATTTTGATAGGGGAAATTGTGATTAACCAGTGGATTTGGGGATATCCTAATTTCAGACAAACCCAAACATGCACCAAACATCTGGGTTGTACATATATGCATCAAGAGTTGCTGTTTGACCATCAAACATCTTGAGGTTGAACCGTCAAAACTTATGTTTTAGCACTATGTAAAAAAGCTTGGGTTGCAGGTGGGAATTTTACGCAAACATTGAGGTCCTGGAACCAATCTTTCAGCCACCCATCAAGGGAAACGTAGAGACCTCTCAGAAACCAAAAGTCGATCCACATTGGGAATGACATTGACATTGATAACCGGGACCGAAAGGAACACCAATTATCCCCATTGAAATATGGTTCCATATCAAGACCCCACATTTTTGTTGACTTAAATTCACCATTTTTGTGCTGGAAAAAGCCCTATGTTCCAAGTTCAATCGACATCTTTGCAGAGTGAAATCCAGGTGGCCAATGTGGGCGACTCTCGCGCCGTCTGCATCGATGGCTGCGGAGGATTCGCGGAGGGGATTTTTCCAGATCTGAAATGGTGGTTTAATGATATGGGTATGGGTCAAAACCCTGGTACCGTGCCGTGAACCCCAAGTCATAGCTGGGATTTATGGATGTGAATAACCCACTAAACATGGTATCTATAGGTATTGACCCATACCCATATGGTTTAACAATGATATATCTGGGTAAATTATAACGACCTCACTGCGACCTCACTGGAATCATGGTTAGTAAGGGGACTTATCCAAATATGGTTTTATTTCAGGTTAGTGAATTATTATAATTTGCCCAGATATATGTTTAATATGGGGATTGAACCATCATCTATATATGGATTGTTACCAGTAAATATATGGGAATATGAATGATACACTGGTTGGTGGTTATCCTTAATGTTGGTTAATAGATGTTAATAATTCCGGAATGTTTAATACATGTTAATAGATGTTAGGTTAATAAATGTTAATAGACCCATCCTTAATGTTGGTTAATCAATATAATGTTAATGCATGTTAATCAACCACAATAAACCATTAAATGCTAATGTGAATGTTACTTATCTGGTTGGTGGTTTGGAACATGAATGGATGATTTTCCTATAATATATGGAGTGTCATCATCCCAACTGACGAACTCATATTTTTCAGAGGGGTTGAAACCATCAACCAGTATATGTTTAATCATGATATGTGATTATTTATTAATATGTTTTCCAACTATGACTAAATATGGTTTAATAATGATATACCAGATATGTAATGGCGGTTTCCAGTGTTTAACGAGATATACTGGGATTCCGGGATAGGTTTTGTCTGAGAATGGGTTTTTCCTTGGTTGGAAAAAGGGACATTGATCAACCTTACGGAATGATTCATGAAAAAAACCTGGGGTTAACAAATCTGGTGATTTTGAAGTTCTTCTTATTCAGCCACTGGCTGAACTTTAACCTGCTTTTTTGTTAAGGTTCGCGCCGCACGCGCGCGCACTGGAGCCTTATTTTGAGGTAGTTTTGTGCGCGCGCGCGGCGTGGACCCAAGGGAAAAACGTTTAAACTTTTCTTGGAAGTCTTTTTTCAGGGAAACTGGTGTTGATTGAAGCAGGGACAAAAAGGTGATTTCAGCAATATTATATAGAAAGGGTGATTTAATGAAGAACACTGGTTTTTTTGGCATGAACAAAATATAACCCTGAACAATTGGAGTCAAGATGAAGCCTGATCACTGGAAATTCAATCCAACAAACATTTGGATTTCCAAAGAAAAGTCCAAGATGTGTGGACGGCCTCGGAAACACCGTTGATTGTCATCAACTTTGCCCATAGAATCCCATGGTGTCTATGACACGTACAAGCGCTAGCGTTAAGTCGTATCAGCTTGTAAAAGTCGTATCGGGAGGCCGTGCGCCTAGATGTGACTTTCCACTACCTGATGTGACTTCTCCGTATCGCCGCCGTGCCATGGGGATGATGTGACTTTTCCCGCCTGATGTGACTTAAGTACGGTGCTCGTACACAGGATTTACGGGCTACATTTACCAAAGATTATAGATGTGGTCATAAGTTTGTCTGGAAATATGATGTAAAACATTGTAAAACCATGTAAAACCTCACTTTCCTAGGTTTTTCCCATGGTTTTCCCTTGGTTTTCCCATCAAATCACCACAAAAAAGCAGCGGGTCACCGCAGGGACTCAGCGCCTGTCCATGGACCATCGCCCCAGCGACCCGGCCGAAGCCCGCCGAGTGCGTGAAGAAGGTGCGGTCGGTGCGGATTTTGGATTTCGCTGAGGATTTTTCCCCATCGAAAATGGGTGATTTCATGGGGATTTAATGGCGATTTAGTGGTGATTTCATGATCTAGGTCAATCTTAGATGGGTAGAAACGAATCCTTTAGTCTTTTGATATCAATGGGAATATCTACTAACTACTAACCAGCAAAGAATTTAATTTTTACCCAAAATGGGGATGTTCCTAGTGATTTGCCCTCTGGTTATGACTAACATAGCCATGGAAAATGGCCCATAGAAATAGATGATTTTACCATGAAAACTTCCATTTCTAAGGGATTTTCCATGGCTATGTTGTATAACCAGATGGTAATGATGATTGATGATGAGATATCATGGAGCAATATAGATCTATCCGATGACTAACAGTTTGCGAACTGGACCATCATATTTTTTAATGGGTAAATCATCATAAAATATCCATAATAGACCCATTTCCATAGCTATGTTAAAGTATGAATAAAGGACATGGGATTAAACCCCAGCGACTGAGATTGAAATGGATGGTTTTCTTTTTTTCTCAAAAACAATTTTGATTCAAAATGGTTGTGGATGATCGTAGACCTTCAGGTATTCCCAACATTGTTAAGACGTGGCTCACGATGGTTGTATTTAGGCTTCATGCAGTCTAGGCGTTCTAATGTTTATCCCCTTAAAATTACATTCTATGGATCCAGCTGTACATCATAAGGATGACTGGGGTATGGTCTATAGGGATATCTAGGGGGTGTATTGTACCTTCTCAGAAAGTCTTTAAGTAGCCATCGGAAAAAACACGTCTGCCACACCAGGCGGATTCGTGACCATGGGCCGTGTAGCAGGCGGGACTCAGTGGTGAATGTGGTGGATTTCTGAGAGGGGCCTCAGCCAATTAGGGTACTGGAGATAGCGGGGATTGGAAGAATCCCCCATCAATACATAGTGGGAAAATCATGAAAGCAATGAGGGATTTTCCAGCAAGCTATGTTTATTTCCTACCAGAGGTAATACTGCTTATTTCTTGGTGGTTCTTCAAGTTCATCCCTAGACTCTAGCTGGAATGAACGATTTTGACTGCTATCTAATATCATCGCACCTCAATTGGATCCCCCGGTAGTATATATATATATATACCCTCTGGTAAACTAACATAGCAATGGAAAATCACCATTTTTAATGGGAAAATCCACTATTTCTATGGCCATTTTCAATTGCTATGTTAGTTCACCAGAGGGTAGATACAATCGGTTCAAACAGTGGTGGTGTAACTCCTGATGCTTCCATTTTGGGGAATTTCTCAGACATTTCCCAGTGGAAATGCCAACCACGTTGGTTCGACTGAGGCGAGTTGGCGATCAGCCGCGCCTTGGGTGATCTCTTGCTGAAAAATTCAGGTGCCGGTGCTGCCGGTGGCGATGGCAAATCAACACCCAAAGTATCACTTGATGATGATATATAGTATATAGTGATATACTATAGCCTATAGTATATATATAGTATATAGTGATATATAGTGATGGTAAGTTAATCACTATATATCACTCATATATTTACTCATATCACATTTTAAGCATATTCTTAATGATATGAGATGGGTCATGTGAGCAAAGTCAATCAAAAGGATGTTGATGTCTCTGTGTGCAAGGATATGTTTCAAGGTTTTTGGTGTCCATCGTCAGCGTATTGTTCCAACAGTAGGCCCTTGTTGGTGGCTCCTCTTGGTAAATAGATCTATTCTATCATTAGCTACTCGTACCAATCCTTATTGGTCTTATTGTTCTATGATAAGATGTGGCTGTTGGTTAAGCTAACATAAGCTCACTATCTTTTTGCGATTCAATGATGGTTAAGCCCTTATTGGCGGTTCTTGTTGCTTAATAAAATCCTCCTTAGAACCATTCAGATCCTGTTAGATTGAATGGTTCATAAACATTAGCCCTAATTGTTGTGATAAAGCAATAAACCAGATTATATTATTGTTATTACAACAATTAGGGCTACTGTTTACCTGTTTGTTTGTGAGATCTACTAATGGTTGTTTATTATTACAAACATTACAATAATTCCTTAAATCCTTATTCGATGAGATACTATACATTCTTAAAATGTTAACATTCCACCCTTTAGATTACTGTAATTTCAACATTAGATCATTAATTAGATCCTATTAGAGTTGGTGAATAAATCCTGGATGTTTAATACATGTTCATAAATGTTTGGTAAATCAGATCCTCAATTTGCTCAATAAATGTTACTTAATGTTGGTTAACAAACATAGTTTTTTTTTGGTTAATAAATCCTGGATGTTTAATGTTGATAAATGTTAGGTTATCCTTAATGTTGGTTAATAGATGTTAATAATTCCGGAATGTTTAATAAATGTTGATAAATGTTAGGTTAGTAAAAGTTAATAGACCCATCCTTAATGTTGGTTAATCAATGTTAATGCATGTTATTCAACCACAATAAACCATTAATGTTAATATGAATGTTACTTAACTGGTTGGTGGTTTGGAACATTTTTATTTTTCCATGTATTGGGAATAATCATCCCAACTGACGAACTCCATCATTTTTCAGAGGGGTTCAAACCACCAACCAGATTATTGTTAACAATCATTAACCATATAATAACCATGAATATTAACCATTAATATTAACAGTATATTGCCAACAAGTTAATGTTGGTTAATAAAGGTGAATAAACCATCATAAATCCTTCAACTCGAGATCAGCCCCAGGCCTGAGCTGCAAACCCTCGGTGCGGGCGCACGACGCCAAGCGCGACCTGGCGCTCTGCGTGGCCAGCGATGGCTTATGGGACTTCGTGGAAGAGAAGGACGGCGCAGAGTTCACCCAAAGCATCGGTGATTTTTTGTCTGAAATTTCTGGGAGTTTTGCTGTGAAATCACCGAAAAAACATTGGGGAGTTGAAGCAGAAACTTTATGGGGAAAATGCATGAAAATGCCCCTTTGCTGGGCAACTCGAGTGGTGATTTTGATGTTTCGCAGGAGGTTGGGAAGGTTGTCCTGGAGTGCAGCAACTCGACCATTGTAGGGGTTTCCTACAATAGGGTACCCCAAAGTGGATGGTTTATAGGGGAACATCCGAAAATTTTCCATGGATGATAACTTGGGGTAGCCTCATAAAAGAGGACACCTCATTTGAGTGGATGAATGAATCCTAAATATTCACCTATAAGTTTTGGATCATCTTTAGATCTTGAAGACAGGATGAATCATCGTTAGAATTAAATAGTGCATGGGTTTAGCTTGTGGGGGTCCAAGCAGTTACCCATAGTTACTTGACCCTATTTGCCACAGGCCATGTATCAGCACTCCAGGCTGGAAGTCATTCAGCCTCCTTGCGGTGCCCCATTTGAAGCAAAATTTCTTGGACTTCACACCCATATTAGCCCATATTCATATACTTTAAGTCCTTTAAGTGTTGGCAACCTCGAAACTTATAAATTCTTCCTTCATGTCACCAATTGGGTCCAGGTTACATGACATTCTTAGGAAATTCCTCCCTGTAGCTGTCTAGCCGAGCCACTGGCCCCTTTTCTTTGGAAGGCCGCGATTTCTGAGGTCGGAATGGACTTGAACATGTCGCCCACAGGCCGAAGTTCCTATCGTTTGAACCATGGTGAATCAGTGTAATCTCTCCATGAGGATTTTTCGGAAAATTGTTCATTACATAGTTCCCTCAACAAAAAATGGACCAGAGTTTTTGTTCCGCCAGGTGTTTTGTGTTTTGACAGTTAGCCTGTGCCTCCACAGGCTGGTGCAAGAAAGCCAGCGCAGCGGTCACTTGGTGAATTCTCAGCACCTGCTGAAACCGGGGATTCTGTGATAGTTTGGTGAGTTTCAGCTGCATTTTCAGTGGTGAATTCCTGGGATTTTCCAGTTCACCTATCAACATAACTATGGAAAAATCCACCATTTTTAATGGGAAAACTCACTATTTCTAAGATTCTATGGCCATGTTCAATAGCTACTGTATGTTACCAGAGGTTATTTCTGCAGATTTCTGAAGTAATTAACAGAAAACGACAATATTATTCATAGATCTTGGCACCGTTTTCCAGTGATTTCCTCAGTTTTGATCCCAAATTTAAGGGCTAACGCCCCCTGCCGCCGACCCCTGGAAAAGAACGCGAAGAAGCGGAGGACATCGTGACCGAGGACCGGATAGGGATCATTAGTCTCCTGCACAGGGAGCAGAGCCCTGAATAGGGGCCATATATATATATATAAACTCCTGAACAGGGAGGGCCTCGCAGAGAGGCATTTATGGGGAGATCTGGGGAGTAGTGTGGCATATAGTGTATGTGTCTCTGTGTGTGTGTGTGGGTGTGTATGTGGGCGTGTGTGTGTGTGTGCGGAACCCTGTTAGCCAAGGGAATGCATGTCCTGTTCTTACCTTTCCTTGTTCCCTCTTTCACCTCTGGTTTCATGTCATCATCATCCATTTCGCGCAAAGAAACAAAGAGAGACAAGAGAAGCAGTCGGTGCCCACTCTGCTGGGCTTGGGCATCCTGATGAGGAAACCCAGCAGAGCATCCGAAACTGCAAAGAGACAGAGACAGATTTCTTTCATTTTCATCCCTGCGTCAGTTTAACTGGCCAGCGCGACAAAACTCCGGCTATGCATAAAGAACTCCAAAAGATCTGCGATTGGATCAGGATGTTCGCATAAGACTGGGGGCCGCTCAGCGGTAACACTACAAGTGTGTCAGATGCGGGCCGTTTTCGCTCCGTCGAGTCGGCTACTGAACTCTCCCCAAAGTCTGCAAGGGAGGGCGACGAGGTGGAGCTTTATGCTCAAGTAGTTTGGGATTTATCCCACCTTGGCCATTGTGCCGGTTTAGAGAAGGCTTGCCCTCTCAAGTTCAACAGTTTTGGATAGTGTGCAAAACGCTCTCCTCCCAAATTCCAAGTTTTGGGGTTTTTCCCCTCCAACTTTACCAGTTTAAGCGCAAGCGCCGCTGTCTATGAGATTTTTCTGTTAACTTTTCGAGCATGGCTCAGATTTATTCCAGCTCGTTTCTCTACTACCCCAGTGTGTGAACACCCTTTGGTTTCCAACTGGTTTCTGAAAAGCTTGATTCATCTCGCTTTTCTCCTGGTTTACCTTCAAGGTCGAGGACTAGGCACGCAGTCATTTCTCATCATCTTCACTTTCATCATTCAGCACCATCTTCTTCCCTCCTCCTCTTTCCCTCGGTATGTTTGTTCTGATGCATGTGTGTGTGTTAACGTCTGTTTGTTTTTGTTTATGTTTGTGTATGTGGGATGCTTTGGTCGCAGCGGTGTGGATTGTTTTTGCTTGTTTGGAGGGCAACCAACCAGCGTCGGTGACACACACATGAATCTTGGCAATTTCCTTTCTACTCGATCCTGGATTTTTGTGTTTCTTTCCAAACCTGGTATTTGAATGCACCTTTTGCTTTCGGAACGACACTGTTGTAAGAGTGCTTGCACGAGCACAGTTAGAAACGAGAATGCAAGCGAGATCGAGCTATTTTTCTCCATTTGCTGTGCCGTTTCAGCATTCTCAGACCATTTGTTGGCATATTTCATGCTTCCAACCACAGTGAATTTCCCAAGTTAAATGTTCACACCTCACAACCGTTCATACGTCCCCTGGTTCCAATTTTTATGGCCTTCCACGGTTTTCCATTTTAGTTTGGGGTTTCAACATTTTTTGGTGCCACCACAAACGCCGCCCCAGTTACTTTTACTTTTACTTTGGAGACTAGTGCCCCGGTGACGTCTAGGAGTTGTCCGGAATTTTTGAAGGGCTTATGTGTTTGTTTGTGGGGTTGTTAGGTTGTTTCGTTTTTTAAACTCAGTTGTTCAGGCTTTTCGGGAAGTTACGTTAATCTGTTGAAAAGTGGAACAGTTACTTTAATGTGCAAGCTCACATTATTGTTTAACCTATCCGGCCAGCAATGTCGTTCACTATCTTCACTCCGAAGCTGCTACCGTTGAACCAGCGGGCTATGTCAACGCAATCGGCAGCAACATCGAGTACCTCTCGGGCATCAGTTGCGAACGCGCTACATCAAGATCTACATCCTCTCAACAACTTACCGCGAGCATTCGTTTACCCACCAAGCCCGTTGCCACCTCCACCAGCTCCAGGACAAACCAAGCAAACACACGTGCCAGCCCAGCCTATTCTGCAACCTTTTGATCCCGGGCCCAACTACAAACCAGCAGCAACACCAACCATTTCTTTTTTACAGCAAGTGAAGCAAAAACTCCAGCCACCACCAGCACCTACATTACCATTGACACGTGACCAAGCACAAAGTTTTCAACTGGGATCAAAATCTGCATCACTACCACCACCGCGACAGCAACACCCACAACCACAACGAAGCAGAAGCCCTCGGCAAACGATGTCACCCAGCACTTTTACCACCCTTTTGCATTCAAACATACCGCAGACACCTCCGAACACCAAAACAATTACAATTGCAGACAAGCTTGACGGGCTTTTTCCCAAGCAATTTGAGATTGACAAGAAGAATTTTCATGAAGTCGCTTCAATTTTGGCAAAAAGTAGACTGGCACCACAAGATTTGCAACACAGTTTGCTCCTACACTTTGAACCACAAGAAGGTGAACATTTGAAACCATGCAATTTTGCTTTGGTTTTATTCAAAGCTTTCAACACAAAACAGCCACCTTTGACCAGCAGACGAAATCGACTACTCTTTTTTGGTCACGCAACAAGGGAAGAAAATGCCGTGTCTATTCTCAACGAGGGAAAAATTCGAGAAAGTATCAAGGACAACCCGCGAAGCCAAGCGTTTTGCTGCCAGGGCAACGAAGTTTATTCTGCAGAACCCAATATGTGGGGTGAAGACTTTGAAGAGCTCCCCGGCATCGCTCGCACAGTGGCAAAAACTACCGCTTTAGCCAAGCACCAGACTTCATTTGTGATAGTAGGGTTGGCGTGGGGATCACTACAGAAGAATTGTTCTGGAGGAATTCGAACAACGTTGGACCTAGCTACGTTTGGTGGGGCACTAGATGCACAAGGTGACCAAGGACACGTTCATGACCTAGCTAGTGAATTTCCAGGAGATGTAGTTCGTGACCATAACAACAAATGTTACTGCTGCCACACGAAAAGACATTGCATTTTGGGCATCGCATTCCCAGTGACCTTTGGCCGTTTTTTGAAATGAAGCAATTGTACAGCACTCTAAGATTTCAAAGCGGGGCAAACTGCCTTGCCAACCAAAAACATTGCTATGATTCAATTCCAGCCCGGCATCCCCAGCAAAAAATGGACGTTGTGACGATTTGCGTTTTCCTGTTTCCGAACTAGACCTTGGCAGTTACGTCAGGCACACGAACCATGTCATCACCCTGTTTAATGTTTCCATTTCCAGTTTGTTCGCACCCCCTGGGCACTTGGCTGTTTGTCTGTTGATGTGTTGAAGTCGCGGTTTAGTGCCTGCAGTCCTTGAGACCGACGGTGTACCATGGAAAATGCATCATTGGGCGGATGTCTCTGACATGCTGTCAACGTTTTTTTTTTTTTGGCGGAACCACCAAACCATTGGTTTTTTCTTTCTTTCTATTGCCCCCAACAGGTCACCGTTTGCCGTCTTTGGTTTCTTCTTTTTGTTTTTCCTTTTTTCTGTGTTTTTTCTTTTTATTTTTGTTTGGGCATTTCTTGGTTGCTTGGAAGTAGATCCAAATTGATTTGCAATGATACTCTATCTGCGGCGGTGCCACGCGGATTCCCCGCGCTCGAGAACCGACGTCGTATTTTTTGGGGGGTTGTTTCCAACCATTTAGTAAAACCCAGCTTTCCTTGGGTTTACTGGTTTACCTGGTCGACGAGTTCGTTCGCATAATTGCGGGCTTTGCCTTTCCGCATTCTCGCCACGTAATCCAACGCCCCGGAACTTTGACTCGCGGTTTGTTTTTTTTTGGGGGGTCTTTGATTTTTAAGTATATTGACTTGAGAACAAGGGATAGGGTCGAGAGACACGACTGGCAGCATTGCAGCTTGGTTTTGCAGACGTGCAAATTTGCAGCTTGACAGTGTGACCGTGCAGCTTTGTCTTGCAGTTTTGCAGTTTTCTCTTGCAAACTTGCAGATT